TCATTTTGATCCGATCTACATCATGGTCATGATCATTACGGTATTGCTGTACTGCTTTTGATCAACACCAAATTCTTCACATATTTGGTCTACGATTTGATCTCTACTAACACATTACAATAGGATGGGTGAGCTTGAGCCATGGATCGACGAGAACTTCATCCGCAGCGTCTGGTTCGGAATGGGCGAGCAAGTCAATGTCAAGATGATTCGAGACAAATTCTCTGGGTAAGTGAATCTTATCGATACCACACTTTCAACTAAGAAATATTGTCTAACTGTCCTTCCCATCATTTTAGAAATGCTGGTTATTGTTTCATCGACTTCACTTCTCCAGCTGCTGCAGCCAAGGCCTTGTCCTTGAACGGATCCATGATTCCAAACACCACTCGACCATTCAAGCTCAACTGGGCCTCAGGCGGTGGTCTTGCCGATCGTCGGTCAGAATCCCGGTTCATATACCTCTTTTCCTCTACTTCGCACTTTCTTAAATGATATGCTGACTTTTTACAGTGATGACCGCGGACCAGAATTCTCTATCTTTGTTGGAGACCTCGGTCCAGAAGTAAATGAATATGTCCTTGTGTCATTATTCCAGGCCAGATTTCCATCCTGCAAATCAGCCAAGATTATGACAGATCCCATTTCTGGAATGTCCCGGGGCTATGGCTTTGTTCGCTTCGCCGAAGAGGGCGACCAGCAACGTGCCCTGACCGAGATGCAGGGTGTCTATTGTGGAAATAGACCCATGCGCATTAGTACTGCCACTCCAAAAAACAAGTCGGGCGGTGCTGGACCAGCAGGTATGCAGATGCAAGGCGGCGGTGCTGGTGGTATGCCCGGTGCCATGGGAGGTGCCCCAGGCATGTACGGAATGGGTGGTGGCCCACCAATGGCTGGATACTACGGTACCCCTCAGCCAATGAACCAATTCACCGATCCAAACAACACAACTGTGTTTGTTGGTGGTCTATCTGGCTACGTCACCGAGGACGAGCTCAGATCCTTCTTCCAAGGATTTGGGGAGATTACCTACGTCAAGATTCCACCCGGAAAGGGCTGCGGATTTGTCCAATTCGTTCAACGACACGCTGCTGAGATGGCCATCAATCAAATGCAAGGTTACCCAATTGGCAATTCTCGCGTTCGTTTGTCTTGGGGTCGTTCCCAAAACAACTCCGGACCAGCCGGAACCCCATACCGACCTGCTCCTCCACCACCTCACTACCAACAGATGGGTATTCCACAGCAGCACAACCCTTACAATGGTTTCCAACCTTTACAGGTAAGATTTGTGCCTCCTTCAATTCACTTTCAAGCTGACAATTTGCAGTAAGCATACATCTTCTTTCGCGAATGGAGTTTAGTGTAGCATGGCGTCTTTCTGCACTGGGCTTGCCATTTTTCGGGGCTTTACTTCTTCGCGTCCAACGCCTGGATAACTCTTTCTCGTCTTAGCGTTACTTCAAGTATCGGATGGGTGGGAATCTGTGTTTTCCAATGATGCCCATGTATAAGCATAGACTTTTCATGCGACCACGATCTTCGCTTTCTCTTTTTCTTTCTTCTACACATGTAATCTCACTGCTCTGCTGCTTAGTCTGCTCACTTGTCTTTTTCTACTGGCGGATTTTTAATCGTCAACGAGATCTGTCTGAGCAGCTTTGCGCTCATGCTCTGCAGCAGCTTTTTCCTATTCTGGACTTTATCCACAAAAGCTCAAAAGTTTAGACTCTTTTTTTTAAATAGGAGTATCGCGGCTTGTGCGGACTCGATTACAAATGTATTCTTCATCCATTATTTGATTTTGCAGACCATTTGTTTCCTTTTTGGCCACACACACTTGTTATGTATTATCCCTATGTTTTGTGCTATTGCCTGTGCGATGATAAAAAATCTCCCTACAAACCTTAACTTCAAAATACTGGACTTGTAGCATTTATCCTTAGCTCGAGGCATTGCTTTAATTCATCATCTGAAGTATCGGATAAATACTTATTTCTTACTATTTCCAAGCTGCGCTTCTTCTTTTCGACGTCCCAACTTGACATGGCATTTTGCTAACGTGTTTGAAATAGACCAGGTCAACAGAGTCACCAACAACCCGCCGCCGCCTACAACGCTGGATACCAACATCAGCAACAACCATCCGGTGGCCCAATTGCTAACGGTGGCTTTAATAACCAAGCTCCCTATGCTTAATTCAAGTAACGATAGTCGCGCGCAGTCCTTCTCAAATTGGTCGTCGTTCGCGGATACCCTTCGGCATACTTCTACGATTTGGGTTCTTCGATCTTTCATTGGTTTCTATCACACTACTGCGAGATACCCTGCTGCATCTAGGATACTTTAATGACGCTTGCTCTCAATTTTCATGGGATTGACAACAACAATGGTGGATGACTCGGCTTTTATGGTTATGGTTTCTTTTGAATTTTACACAACTTTTCCTTTCTCATTATTTTCGAACATTCACGACTCTTGAAAGTCTCACAATTCGATGAACAATTTCAACGCGAGCTTTACTTACAAATTACATTACCTCGATACATACCTTGGCGAAAATGGAAAGGCGTCGTGGTTTGGTGCATTATAGTACATCGATCATGATACCACTCTTGCGTGCATGGAAGGGGGCCTGGACGGCATTGCTTTTAGGTGTGCGGCGTGATATTCATCTAATTTACTACGTGGTCTTTCTCTGTATTCGAATCTCTTTCTTTCCAGTACATAGCCGCGACGGAGGATCTTTTACGTCTTTACTCTTCTTCTTTGATGGAATTTACGCTAGTATACTAGTGGTATTTCGGGAAAAGTTGATGGATGGATTGATGAATCATAATGTTGCGTGGTTTTCGTCAAAGGGCATGATATTCATTCTACTTCCCTTGTTTTGGAATCTTCTCGGGAATGGCATGGTGCGACGTAGCATCGTATAAATATAGTTGCAGTGGTTCATCAGCGAGTAAGCTTTTAGGCATTGGTTGAAGGAATTTACGGGCTGGTTTGAGATGTGGAACGTGTGTCGTCTGTTGGTTAAGAATTAAGAGGAATTCATTCATTGCCTTTGGTCAAGATATGTATGGCTTTTATGGTGATTTGTGAATGTGAATGTGAATGTGAATGTGAATGTGAATGTGAATGTGTATGTGTGTGTGTAAATGTAAATGTAGTATGGCTTAGCTTGAAACGCTGTGCTATCCATAATATCTAGACTTGTGCTCTTCTAAAGAGAGGCATGTTTAAGGTGAGATAAACCGGATGGATACGGGTCATTTCCTCATTCTCAGACCCATCCATCCCTTTTACTTCTTGATATCTAGAGATTCCCATTCCGATCTTGATATATCCTAATCCTAACCCTAATAAATGTCAATACTAATACTAATACTAATGCCAGTCGGTCCTAACCCTGTCCTTATTCATAGAATCCCTCGCACTGGATAAAACCTCACATATCAATTGAGTGACTCGCGTGCGGCTGCTGGAAGTATCTTTTAGAAGAATTTTGAAAACTTTGTTTTGTTTTGTGGTGTGGTATGGTATGGTATGGTATGTTGTTTTGTTTTGTTGAGGTGGGGTGGGAGGAGTGGGAGGAGGAGTGGATATAGGAATTGAGGGGGATAGAGGGGGATAGAGGGAAATAGAGGGAAATGATGCTACAATATGTGGATGTGCGAGTGTGAAGATGTGGAAGGAGGTGTGTAGTGTGAGAATGGGAAGTGGAAAGTCATGGTATTTTTTCGGATTTCTTTGGAGAGTGGAAGAGTGGGAGAATGGGATGGTAGGACGGTAGGACGGTGGGAGGAGTGTGTTTTTGAGAAAGTTTGGAGGTCGAGGGAGATTTGAGGGGGGGGGGGGAGATGATGGATGGGATGGGATTATAGAAGCTTTGTTAGAGGAAGGGAGGTGGGGCTTCTCTTTCTCGGGGCTTGAAGGGATGGGAGGGGGGAAATTGAGGATGTGGGGAGGTGAGGTGAGTGATGAGGATGCGGATGAAGATATTGATGAGCATGAGCATGAGCATGAGCATGAGCATGAGCATGGGTATGAGAATGAACTCTATCGGGTGAGATAAGTAATGAATAGACCGGGCTACGAGATACAAACGAGAGGTAGAATAAGGATGTTAGAAAGTAACACTGATAGGAAGACGGGAAGGGGTTGGAAGAGAATAGAAGTTAATGGGGGATAAAATAGATTGGTTGGTTGATATTTTGGATGGGATGAATGAGGATGAGGAAGGGAGAGGGGAGATACTGTGAATAGACGGAGAGGGTGAGTATGAAGGTGGAAAGACGGATGAGAAGATGTGGATGCGGATGCGGATGTGGATGGGAGATTGGGAATATATTGGGTTGGGTTGGGTTGGGTTATTTAAATTTATGGATGGAGAGGCGAGTAGTGGAATTTTTAGGGAGGGAGGGAGGGAGAAGGAGGAAAGTGATGTATATGTATGTATATATATCTAAATGGGAGTTTCAAATATAGTTGTATATCTATATCGATGAACAGCACAGCAAGGGAGTGTTAGATAAAAAGTCGAAGCTTAGATGCGTTAGCAATGAAGTCACCTAATGATAATCAGGACGTGGGATGAAAATTCGAAAGAGAAGGAAAGATTGTGGCATTTGGAGAAAATTTAGCTTTTCTGGGGGTACAGTTCTGGATAGGAGGTAGGAGATACTGGATGAGTAGGTTGAGCTTTAAGAGTACCGGTGAGATGTGTAAAACTATTAGAGTCTATCAAGGACAGAGTTTGAAAGAGGGGGCTACGATACCAGAGTCGATTTGATCAAGGCCTGCAGACGGACGAAGGATAATATTGTAATATCGCCAGCAAGATATCTCATAGGAAAAAAAAGTGTTCATGATATGGATCATTTGCTCAATTAACTAGCATGATAACACTAATTAGTCCATAAAATAAAAGACTCGATACATGCAATATTGATTACTCAATGGAATATGTAGCACTGCCCCAAAGAACAAAAATATCATCACTTCCTAACCTTCCTAGCATGCTTGACCAGATTCTCAATAACCCCTTCAAAAGCCTCCCTATCACCTAACTTTTCATCAGTCCTCATCGTCCAATAGCCTAATACTTCTTTCGCCAAAACTTCCATTTCCTCAAGCTTTTTCACGTGTCCTTTCAACTCATCTATTGTTAAGCCTTGTAGAGCTTCTTCAGTAATCTCGCAAGTTTGACGTGCGGATACCAAATCTAATTGAGGGGCAGGTGGAGGACCCTTTCGACGTCGACTGTCAGAGCGAGCAGGCTTGACATTGCCTTGTGAGTCAAGGGAAGTAGAAGAAGAGGATTTGATACGATCTATGGAACTGTCGAGAGAGCCAGAAGATGATGGATGTAAAGACAGGGAGGGGAGGATGAGTTTCTTTTGTGTGGAAGCTGGAAGGATTTCATCCAGAGATACGGGAATACCGAGACTGACGAGGAAGAGACGACGAATACGGGATCGAATCCAATTTGGTGGTTGAAGGGGTGGTGGAGCCACAAGCTGTGACCAGAGTGATGCGGATCGTGGTGTGAGGAATATGGGATTCGGATTGTCAAGAGGTGGAAGGACTGATATATCAATTGTGTCTGAGGGAAATATATGATCGAGGTAGGGTTCGGTTGCAGAGCGAATATCCTCGGGTGCATCGAGATCTGTCAGGTCAAAGGTGGGCTGAACAAAACACTTGTGTTAGGACTGAGTGTACTATTGTTGCATACGGAAAGTAGACGACTACTTACAAAAGAAGGAACTACAGGAATTGGTTGAGAAGATTGAGTTACTTCAGGCTCTTGAAATCCATCATCAAAATCACCAAACTCTGCATCTTCCTCTCCTTCCTCAAAATCATCGAAATCATCTCCAAAACCGCCATCATCTGCATCATCCCCACCGTCTCCACCATGACCATCATCTCCGTCTTCTTCTTCATTGTATTCTTCTTCTACAGCTTTGTTCGTTGCCGTCGAAAAGCTTTGATGTCGTAGACTTAAGGACGGGGAGCTAGATTCTAACTCAGTCAATAACTCTGAAGGTGTTTGGAATTCTTGTTAATACATACCAGGTACATCAGCGACCTCAACTATGTCGTCCGGTTGAGCATCTTCCTTTCGCAATTCATATGCGGCGGTACCGGGAACTTCGCCATGACTTGGTTCAGAGTCTATCCTCTCAACTACAGTCTTGGGAATTGGTAAGTCCCCTGGTGTACTACCAGCTCTTGATCTTGTGATACCAGTGGTATTCAGAGTATTGGAGCGACTGCGACCAGGAGTTGAGTCTAAGACCAAGTCCGGGACTGCGTCAGCCTTACGCTTTTCATACGCTGGTGTACCCGGGACTTCTCCATGACTTGGAGTATCGGGGTCTATCTTCTCAACGACAGTGATGGGAATTGGTAAGTCACCCGGAGTTGAAGGTCGCCGGGCTCGTGCGACATCATCAAATTCTGGAGCCATTGCAACTTGATCAGGCTCAGCATCCTCTACTCTCATATTATATGCTTGTGTACCCGGAACTTCTCCATAACTTGGTTCATCGTCGACTTTCTCAATTCGAGTAGTGGGGACAATGGGTGAGGCTGCGGTGGATGGTTCTAGACCAGAGTGTGCATCTGAAAAATGGTCTTCTGAATCCGAAGATTCAACAGTTTCTAAGTAACAAGAATGTTAGAACAAATCAATTTATGTAAACTTTCGAAGGTATGTTCCGCATTAAGAACATTCTATCCTCAACGTCGCAAAAACAACAGAGAGTGTTGAAACTTAGTTTCATCGGCCTTACCTGCAAGTTCGTGTGCGCCTGGGTCCTCAATGCTAGTCCTTGTAGGAGGTTCTAGACTTCCGTGGTCTTCCTCAGCCATGATTGATGATACCAGCGAGATACCAGCGATAACCTCGAGAGAAAATCTAAATCAACAGACAAAATGGTCTGGAGGTACGATTAACGTGTTGGCAACGTAAACTGAGTAGTGAACAAGAGAAAGTCTAATCCAAGGGGGGAATAATGACAACTGCTCCCTTCTCGGTCAATGATAGCAAGAGCTCCGATCATTCTGTTGTTCACTCGCTTAATTTTTGATTGAGGCGCGATACAGTAACCTTACCAAAAAGTCGCGCTGGGAAAGGCCAAGAAAGACAAAAGACTTCAATTTCACGCGCTTTGAAATGCGCAAGGCTGATTAAACCAATTCGGTAAATGCAGAAGCTGTACCTCAATTCAATTTAACATTGGGAGAATATTATATCGCTGATCATCTCGATTTCTTTACAAATAATTAGCTTCTGATCTGGTATAAACAATCAACAACATCGGAAAATCTTCCTTCCTCGATTTCGATTCGCATCCCTATTTTTCAAGCTCAACAATAATATCTACAAGATGTCTGGATTTACATTCGGCAACACTGGAAGTACTGGCGGGGGATTGTTTGGTGGGGGAAGCTCTAGCAACACTCCAAATAGCTCTGGAGCTGGACTATTTGGAAGTGCGCCAGCTACATCTGGAGCCGCACCATCATCTCTATTCGGCGCACCAAAACCAGCTGGAGCACAAACACCGGTCTTTGGAGGAGCAGGAGCTGCAAACACAGGAGCTGCAAAGCCAGCCGCTGGAAGTATCTTTGGACAAAGCACAGGAAATGCGCCCAATGCCACGTCTTCTTTCAGTTTTGGAAAGCCTGCTGCTAGCACTACACCTACAACTTCAGCAGGAGGTGGACTGTTTGGTGGAGGAGGTGCAACTGCAGGTGGAAGTGGAGGCTTCAGTTTCGGAGGACCCAAGCCAGATGGTGCTTCAACGCCAACAACGGAGAATAAACCCGCAACTCCTACGGGTGGTATGTTCTCAGGGATGAACAAGCCAGCAGCAGGAGGTGGTATGTTTGGAGGAGCAGCTTCGAGTACCCCAAGTTTAGGATCAACAACACCAGCACCAAGCAAGCCTTTCAGTTTTGCATCCACAACCCCAGCAGGACCACCACCTACAAATAATGCACCAGCTGCGAGTACAGGTAACTTGTTTGGCGGAGGTGCTCCATCGCAATCAACTGGAGGTCTGTTCGGAACACCAAAACCAGCAGCCGCATCACAACCTACACAAACACCCGCTGCGCCAGCCCCTACTGGAGGTCTTTTTTCCAGCGGTACTCCTGCAGCTGCTCCTACTAGTAATTTGTTCGGTGGTGGTGCTGCAAAATCTTCCGCGCCTAGCGGCAACATGTTCGGTGGAAGTAAGCCTGCTGCTTCGGCAGCTCCCCCTGCCAGCTCGACATCTGCGGCGACTACAGAAGCTGCCAAGCCAGCCCCATCTTTCAGCTTTCCTTCTGCTACTCCAGCAGCTAGCACCCCTGGAACACAGGCTTCTACTACTCCTGCTCCTGCAGCTCCTGCTACCAGCAGTCTGTTTGGAAAACCCAATCCAGCTACATCTACTTCGGCGCCATCTGCATCTGCCCCAGCGCAAACACCATCGCTTTTTGGAAACGCTGCTTCGACTAGTGCAGCAACCACTTCTACTCCTGCACCAGCTGCTGCAACATCAAGTTTGTTTGGCGCAGCTAAATCATCAACTCCTGCTACTTCTGGCCCAACCAACACCAGCACTCCTGCTCCTGCTTCATCAACTGCAAATGCGGGTTCTGCAAATCTAGATCAACGAGCTGGAGCGACTGCTGGCTCTGGGGCGGCAGGAAACGCAGCAAATCTAGGAGCCTCTACGGCTGGCCCAAGACCAGAATTATCTCGTCTTAAGAACAAAACTATGGATGAAATCATCACCCGGTGGGCATCTGATTTAGCGAAATACCAGAAGGAATTCCAAGAACAAGCAACCAAGGTAGCTCAATGGGATCGTCTTTTGGTCGAGAATGGAGATAAAATTCAGAAATTATACAATACCACATTTGAGGCTGAAAGATCAAGCGCAGAAGTCGAACGACAACTAGCAACGGTAGAGGGTCAGCAAGCTGAACTCGAACAGTGGCTCAATCGTTACGAACAGGAGGTTGATGAGATGTTCAAAAATACAGCTGTCGAAACGCTACAAGGACCAGATCAGGAACGTGAGAGAACCTATAAGATGGCGGAGAAATTGGCAGATAAACTTGATGAAATGGGCAAAGATCTTTCTACTATGATTGAAGCTATGAATGAGGCATCTGCTACTTTGAACAAGAGCACCAAGTCTGATGATCCAGTAAGTTACTCTAATCTATATATCAGGTTTATAAAGGATTCCACTAATCAAATGTGCCTACAGCTTTCCCATATCGTCCGAGTCCTTAATTCACATCTTATGCAATTACAATGGATTGATCAAAATGCCAAAACACTACAAGAGAAAGTTGAGGCGGCGCACAAGTTGGGACAAAGTATGAGTGCAAATGGTCTCGGTGGAGCGGAGGGTGATGCTGCAGATCTCTTCTACAGGTCTTTTATGGGCAGAAGATGAAGGGATGAGGACGAATGATAGAGCTTGATAAAGCAGGTAAAATGGAGGCCGACAAGTGTGTACTGGCGTGCTGAATGGATGTTTGGGCGTTCTGATTTGGCAGGAAATACATTTGCATATTCATGCATGGATAGTCTATTTTGAGGGGAGTATATGTGGATAATGAATATGGAAGACTGAATACCGCAAGCCTTCAATAAATGATTGAGGAGAGATTAGAGATACAAAAGGATTCATACGTCCAAAGCAGGCGAATGCGTGGATGTAAGAAACGGGGCAGAAGTGTTCTCATGAGCCTTTTGGTGTATAATAAATAGCATGAAGCGAGAGAGAATAGAGAATGATCAAGCTCATAACTAATTTTGTTCCATCGAAATGGAATTAACTTGGCTTGACACGCATGGGGAATTCTGCAACCACGCGGAGAGGCAATGATCGTATCATACAATCAATAATTTCACCAACTATAAACGACCATCATTTCATCACAATCCTGATGTCATATCTCATTTTGTCCAGTCTTGCTCGACTTAAATGACCCTTTTTCCATCTTCCCCCGCGCCCATCCACATGAAGGGGTTTTTTTTTGCAAATTTTCAAGTTGATTTAGCTGGTAATGAACCAAAGCATTTAGTATTTTCTTTCTTAAATTCTGCAAAGAGAGAAAAAGATCGGAGAAACAGAGGGGAGGAGAATAAAAGAATTGATTGCATTTGGAGAAGAGAGGAGTCCATCGATGGAAAACAGTACTTCTCAAATTCTGACTATGGATATGTGGATATATGGACGAAAGCTCAAAGTTTTTTTCTAAAAGTATGTGTATGCTTACTTCTGCTCGCCACCAGATTGCTTCTCGATTTCGGAACTGGGGGAGAGGAAATTAGTATGAGTGGATTGAGTATGGGGACAGAAAGGGTAGAGGATGGTATGAGGTGAAAAGGGCATTCTTACATGTGGTCCTCGAGTTTCTTCAAGTGATCACGCTGCTCGGTAATTTTCTTTCTCAACTCCAAGAGCTTCTCATTCTCGCGCCGGCGAATGGTGTAATCCTCATTGGCCTTTTCGCGCTTGGTAAAGGCATCTCTGGGGAAAAGTTTGTTAGTTCTGTACCTGCAAGTGCGGATGGGAGCTTACCCTTTCCTTTGCGGAACTCAATATCGCGAGGATAGTCAAGTGGTAGCATTGGAAGGGATGGAAAACTTACTGTTGGCCGCCAAATCTGGCAGCGCCGGTGTCTCCTTCGCCCATAGTGCGTGCTGATATGGTAAATGCTCTCGCAGCTGGGATGGAGGTGCGGACTGCTGGTCGCATGGCAGAGTTGATTGCAAGACGATACATGATAATGATTAGATTTGAGGTTTTTTCTTCTTTGTGGTGGTATTTCGAAGGTAGAAAGATGACGGATGTATTTGAGGGGTTGTTCAATTGGTGGTATGATTGTTTTTGAAATGATTTGCTGGATGATGCCGAAGTAGCTTGCGGGCTGGAAGCTTGGATAGAAACTCTTGGATGTGAAAGACGTAATTATGCCTTGAAATTGAGGTTGTGAGGGGAAAGATCAGGTCAAGATCAGGTCATCGTCATGATCAGCTGTTTTGAATGGGGAACCGTGGCTGCTTTAAAGGTATGTGGGGATGAATGAGGGCAGGACCAGTGCTCAATCACCCAAAAATGAGCAGAAGATGATTAAAGTGGCACGACTTTGTATTCTATGTCTTCTTGATGCTAATATCACATATCACATCAATTTCATCACGTAGAGTTCTCTTTAAGAGACAGCAGAGTATAAACTGGAAATGTTCGGATACCACTTTGCTCGATTGTTGATATGACACTGTGATGATTACCTACCTACGACTCTACGAGCTTACCTAGCAACAGTGGACTTGTGTTATAAACCACTCCGTACTCTATAAATAATACTATTCTGCCCCACTACCTACCTAGGTAGCATTCCATACCTGCCCATCTGGAAGTAGGATTGAGGTATATCTGACTGACCGAAATCAACCAGGTTGTGGGGATCGATTGCAGAACAGAATAGAACATGCTCGGTGTCGAGGACAATATCTACTCAAGCCTACTTGACTATGTACGAAGTAGTACTCCATTGATGATGTACCGATATGGAAACAGCTATGAGGGTGTGCTCTTGTGCTTGTGCTTGTGCTCGTGAACGGTCTAACACCAAACACAAGGCAGCGAAGCGGCAATACTAACAATAATAAATGCCATTCCAGATTCCAGAAACCAAGGCAGAACAGAACGTCTATGCTTTTAGACCTCATTTGTTAGCACTGCCACAATCACAGAAAGCCAGTTCACATTACTTGGAAGGGAAGGAAAGGAAGGAAAGGAGATGGAAAGGGTTAGGGGGTGGAAACCGAAACAGAAACGCCCAACACCTCAAGAAAATGACCAAAAAGCCTTCCATCTCCGGACAAATTTCCAATTCGTGACAATGCAAATCTGGGTCAAGGTCAAATCATGTTACATTCATGCAACGGATAACCACTTTTACCGACCTGTATTTACCATTAACCAAGATTGGTCCAATCCAGCAACATGAACCAAGCATTTACAGAATGTTCATCAGCCCTGTTGGACTGCATGGAAATCATCTCGAGCCGAATATCTCTGACTCTTATTCTTGGGCTGGGCTGGGCTGGGTTGGGTTGGGTTGCCTCGTTGGCTAACAGTGGAGAAATGAAAGTATACTTAGGTATCATGACTTCTCATACACATGGCTGTACTGGTATTTGTGTCTCGTGTGTGTCTCTCTCTCTGCCTCACAGATCTTACTTGTAGAAGACGATTATAAAGACAATTAAAGGGGGGGATCCTGAGATGTAATACATGTGAAGATTGTTCAACGCTCAGTGTTCTTATGTTGGAAAATGGGTTGTCTAATTCAATTGAACTCGAATGTCTGTAGATACCCCCAAAATCCACATAATATAACGCATGAACAACAGTCAAAAGAAAGGAATCTCAACCATTTTGCCCGTACATACAGTAGACAGATTCACTTCAGAAGGTGATTTCTGATATAGTTTGTTCCAACTAACTCTTTCCCCCCTCCCCCTCAAAAAGGGATTAATGAATCGAGTTTATATCATTCAAGTAATTTTACAGAATAATACATAAAACACGGAGCCCCTTTTACGATCTCGAGGTTATCCGTTCACATTCATTCATTCATTCCCTTTCCCTCGCAGATCGCTTCCCATCTTCTAAAAGTGGCACTAGTGCGTCCTTCCAGCAACTTCCTCACGGCCTACGGTCCCTACCACTTTCCAATCGAGAAAACCATCCCAAGAACCAAAACCAACACACAAACACATTTCTCACGTCGCATAACATCCTACGTTTTTCTTCCTATTTCAGTTTGTGAGATCTCTTTCCTAAAGACTTAAAATAATATCATAAAAAGATACTCAGGTAAGATCTTCATCTCCCCTCAAACCCTTTGGATTCCCGTCATCTGTTTTCTCCCTCCGCCCTGCCCAACATATCCATCTTCCAACGCCATCAACAAACAATCAGTATGCCTTGCATCCTATTGTCCTTGTTTACTCGACTCGAAGGATCGACGTTTCCATTCATTTGCAAACCACCAATAATCCAACGACTCTTCGTCTTTCACCATTGCCCCTCCGGAAGACTGAGGGGTATTTGTTGTTTTTGCCTTCAGCAAATCAACCCTTGATTTTACCACATATAGTAAAACTGCATCGATTGGCGTGTTTCTCCTCGCAGATGGATATTTGGCGCATGCAGAAGTGTTCGGGCTAAATATCGGTGACAGTCCAGTCACATCAAACACTAGCACAGTCGCAATTGTCTGTTGGATTTCGGCCATTTTAACAACAAAAAACACAACCTTTACTTTTGAGCAAACGATAACTAACAAGTCCATTTCAACAGATCTACAAATCGCAGTCATGGGTTACGAAGATTCCGTCTATCTCGCCAAGCTCGCCGAGCAGGCTGAGCGATATGAAGGTATGCAGATTTACAGAATTTGATCGAAGCGTATGAATACTAACAGTAGGAATAGAGATGGTCGAGAACATGAAGTCCGTCGCATCTGAAGACCAAGAACTCTCCGTCGAGGAGCGTAATCTTTTGTCTGTTGCATACAAAAACGTCATTGGTGCTCGCCGTGCATCATGGAGAATCGTTACCTCCATTGAACAAAAGGAGGAGTCAAAAGGAAACTCATCCCAGGTTACTCTCATCAAGGAGTACCGTCAAAAAATTGAAGCCGAACTTGCCAAGATCTGCGAAGATATCCTCGAGGTTTTGGACAAACACTTGATTCCTTCTGCCAAGAGCGGTGAATCTAAGGTCTTCTACCACAAGATGTATGTAATTTGTCTTTTGAACAATATTCCATTTAAACTCTCTTACTAATGATATTACAGGAAGGGTGATTACCACCGTTATCTCGCCGAGTTCGCCATTGGTGACAAGCGAAAGGAGTCTGCCGACAAGTCTCTTGAGGCCTACAAGAACGCAACCGAAGTCGCTCAAACTGACCTTGCACCAACACACCCAATCCGTCTTGGTCTTGCCCTCAACTTCTCCGTTTTCTACTACGAGATCTTGAACTCCCCAGACCAAGCTTGCCATCTTGCCAAGCAAGCCTTTGATGACGCCATTGCTGGTAAGTCTCATTCTATCAACAGCATACACAAGTGATCTAACCGTTATTCAGAACTCGATACCCTTAGTGAGGAGAGCTACAAGGACTCCACATTGATTATGCAACTCTTGAGGGATAACTTGGTACGTAAAATTATTCTCACAGCAAATCATGATTCCAAGTTTTATCACTAACAAAATAAACTCATTTAGACCCTCTGGACTTCATCAGAGGCTGAGCCAGCTACTACAGAGTCCGCTGCCGCACCTGCTGAAGCCAAGGAAGCCGAGGCCGCTGCACCAGCTGAGGAGAAGCCAGCTGCTGAATAGATAATCATCGGATATGGCGTTGATGTTTGGTCGAATGGGCGTACGAGCGATGGAGGTTACGATTGGGTTCTGCATGTTTCGACAGACGAGATGAGCAGAGGGCGAGCTTCATAAAGAGCTTTTGGGGGGTCTCACTCGCAAATTGCTTGCCTTTAGACTCTTTAATGCATCAAACCATACTGTACTTTCCCTTCCACATATCCTTTCGCTACTTTGCGAATGTCTCGATCGCCCAACATCTCTTTTCCTTTTTCCATTTTTTTTATTGAAGACCACTTCCACATGTCATTCCCCGGTTGTTGATAGGTTACGGCCTGGCACTTTTTTATCAAATCGATTAGACTAAAAAAAAGTAGCAAATCCATAAAACCAGTACAAAAAGTCGATAATATGATAATGCAATGTGAGACAAATTGCATATGAGTTCGCATGCATGACAAATAAAATTTCTGAAGATCTACCGTTAACAGCGATTTGGTGGTCTCTCATGATCAAATTTGGAAATTATTGTTTACCAGGTGGAAGGGGCTGAATATTTACACATGAGTTTGGAATGAGTATGTGGGTCTCAGGTGTCTCGGTAGGTGAGTGATATTTTCGAGCTTGCTTGACTGATGGGCTGGTGGCGTGTACTAGCAAAATGGTGCTGGGATCGGAGTTGAAGTCGGAATCGAATGGAAGGGTGTGTTCTGCAGGACATGATATGGATGGGTGTATATTGATGGGCGGGGCGTGAGATTCGGAAAAGTGAAAGGGAGAGATATGTCTGCTGTTTGTTGGTTGTTGGTTTGGTGGTGTGTTGTGATGGAGGATTTTGTTGTGATTTCTTTGGGAGGAGGGGGAATACTTGGGTTATAGTTGTGGGGGTTGAGGGGGTTGAGGGGGCAGAGATGGTGTGGCAAGATGGGAATGGAAGAGGGGAAAGGGGGAAGAGGAGGTTTGGGGTAGGGTGGTGGTTGTATAGCACTTGAACTGGGAGTTGGTATAGTGGGAGGATGGGAGGGGAAGGATAGGATGAGGAGGGAGGGATCTGGCATACTTAGAATGTGAGGATGGTGGGTGGTTTGAAGGTGAATTGGGGAGAAGGAGATGGGATTTCTTGGTGGAATGGAGAGGAATTGTCTCTGGGGGTAAGTGGGAGAGGAAGGGTACAGGTGGGCGAATGAAGAATCGTGGGACGTAACAACATCCGCCGTCGAGATCAAGAATGAAGACAGATACGATGTGGGTGTATGTGACGAGATGAGAACATGCAAAAGGAGGTTTGAAAGAAGGTAACTACCGAGATGGGGTGCTATGTAATGCTATGCGTCGACGGGAGATTCACATGTACTTGTGGGTTTCTATTGGGTCGTATCGTGAGATCAGGGTAGGGCTGATATTGATCATGGGAGCTTCGGTTTCATGGATCTAGACTTCGTTGAAGGGTGTCCGGTTGGTTAAGTAAACAGTGTCCTAAGCTGTAGTTGAGGGGGATCTTTACACTCGGATCAGGAATTTGATAGGCACCCTGGATGTGTTCCCTCGCCGCCGAAATAAAACAAACAAATAGTTGCCGGATGATTATAATACTTGATATCTCGTTGGCTACTTATAACCATCTCTAAGAAGTTTATTCGACCATCCTCCCCTGTACAGCCAATCCGACTCTTGAACCCTTTCCAAGACCCTGAAGCACGGGTGGAATCTTACTCGCATGCATCGATACCTTGGATGTCCGTGGTATAGAGAAGCCCTCCCGGTTGGCTTGGTGCATGGGTCCTGGATGGAATTTCTTGGGGAGTGTGGGATGAGAATCAGTCGAGTGTAAAGGGGGGTATACGATGGCGTAGTAATACTTCGAGAAGAGTCTGATGATTGGAGGTGGAACATGGTTCACTGCATTGGGGGGCTCGCTTAGAGGATTGAAATGCATAGATTTGCTAGATTCACGACTACTTGCCTCTTGGTGAAGGGGATTTGAAGATCGGAAGACCGGAAGAGCTTTATCGATGTTGGCGATTTTTTAAGTTCTCTCTCAATGTGTTCTTTGATTTGGTGGAGGGTTGATGGGGGTTGATTGATTGATTGATTGATTCTTATATCTACACAGACTTCTTGGCCATGTGTGGCCTCGAATTGTACAGAGTCTTCACAGCCAAGAAGAAACGAATCATCCGGGGCTATACTTTACATGGCATGATGATATAGATACATGTTCCTGTTGTGATTGCAATACAATATCTAAATGTAAGTCTAGAAGAATAGAGAGTTGTTGATGGAAATGTTTGTTGCGTGTCGAGATCCAAGGAAAATCCCTCTTCTATACTTTTCACAAGCAAGCATAAACGTGGAGCGTGGGGGGGTAGGATTAAGATGGTCACACACACACACACACACATACGACGCTATTATTCTGTATTCGTAGTCACCTTGTCTCAAAAGGAAAGCGAGATGTGAATGGTCCAGCTGATGTTGAGCGTATTGTTAACCGATGATTGCTTCCGCGCTAGCCTCGAATTACAATACTCGTGGTGTTGAAGACGATAATCTATGGAGAGAGTTGTTTTGTGACATTCCTCCCAAAGTCTCCTTCAAGTCAAGCAAACGCTTCTTTGGGAAAATAAATGTACATGTCTACGTAACAGATTTTATATTGTATTGTGAGCACGAATCGGTAATATCCCCCCTCCACCATTCTAGCGGTCGGTTTCGCAGTAGCTTCAATGATCCCGTAGTATCGCCTATAACAATCGAGAAATCCATAACGACTACGACTACGACTACGACCTGCCCTGCTTGCCCATCATTAAGTTTTGGAAAAGGTAGAAATAACTTTTTTGATATTTGGTATTAATGTTTGTTTTTTCTACATCTGAAGCATCCGTCTACTTGACTACCTACCCAATGGAAGACGGTTCGCACGGTCTTATTACATAAATAACAAAGTCACTACCTGTACTCCCCCAAGTATTGGTGCGATAAGAAGTGGGTGTGCTAGTTGAACTTCCAAAAAAAAAACGAGAAGAGCCCCCCCCAAGTGGGAAGAAACGATCCATCTTAATTAGTACGGGGTTCAACGACGACCGAATGAACTTGCCGCTACATTCTACGAGGTCGAGATCGATATTTTTTTGACTAACACAGAATCCTTGGACAGTATACACGTTGTTGTCGTCTGTATTTCTTTGATTATTCGCAGAGAAAGTTTACATTGCAAAGCGATTGCGCCTAGAAAGCCATTAGCCGTCAAGCAATTTCCCGTTCTCCAACTTGCTCACTGTCAAAACGGAAGCTCAAGTCTTACTTGTGAACTTTCAGACTTTATTTACTACGACAGGTTTCGCCAAATGGAGTGATATAGGTGATCAATACAATTCGCACTCTCATCTGATCAGATTTCAATAGCCCGCGCACGGCGCATATACCGTTCTCACTAGGACCCCTCAGTTTGCGATCATTTATTGTACAACCACAACGCATACGTGCACAAAGTTGGCGGAATTTATTGATTGATCACAATCGCAATCATGGACACTTCTGGGGTTTGGGATACTGAGGATCCTACTTTATCCGTTCCTTCGCAAGATGATTTTCAACAATTCCTTGACCTGAACATGCACAACATGGCTGATACCCTCCAATTCGACTTCAATTTCAATCAGCAACAGTCGCAAAGTCAACAGATGTTACATCAAGATGGGATGAATTCAATGAATACGGGCATGAGTGGCAATCATCAGATGGGACATGATGGAACGATGCAAGAACATATGCCTTCGATGACTACGACTTCTACCCATCCGGCCATACTTGGAACTCCAATCGTACAACCACATACTTCTACAGAGAGTTTGACAGACTTGGATGCGCAAATCCAATATCTACAACAGCAGAAGCGAGAGCATCAGCTACGGCAATCACAGGAACAACAGCGGAACTTTTATGCCCAGAGTAGAATGATCCCACCCACACCCAATAGTATGGAAATGCATGGTGTCAATCAACATTTCTATACTCCAGCAGAGCATCCGCCATCTGTATATGAGTCATATCGTCTGAGAGAGCAAGAGGTTAGTCAAGTTGATTATACTTTCGTGTCCTTATTTTATGGTTTCACAATTCAATAAGTATTAGAATGAAATGCTAATAGAACTAATTAGATGGCATTTACTCCGCTCGTTTCACCAGCTGTTACTCCCCTAGAAACTCAATTTAATATCCCTGATTACACTGTCCCCGGAGCTTATTTTAGTCCCTTGAGCTCCCCAGCTTTACACGCCCAAAATGACCATCAACTTATGTTCGACCATCGTCATTCGGGGTCAAATGATTCCCCAATTGACATGAATGGTGATTCGCATTCTGCGCCAGTGAGCTCTATAATTCCAGCTCGGAAGCCTGCCCGAAAGTCTGTTGCACCAAAGCCTCGGGTGAACACTCGTGTAGTTCGGCAATCGCCAATTGTCAAGCCAAGTCGCGGTAGGAAAAGCTTAAGTATGAGTGCTCAGGCGCTAGGAGAAATTATTGAGCCATTGAGTTCGCAAATGTCTCATTCTAAAGGCACTGGATCAACGAACTCAGCAGCAAGCACCGACCATTCTGAAAATGGCTCTATATCTCCTGAGCACTTATCGGATATGGCGCCTCCACCGTTGCCGAGCTCGGCTGGGAGATCACCCTATGTCGTAGCACAAAAGGACAATGCCAAGAATAAGTGGATTCCCCTTGGATCACCAGCTACGCCAGCTTCGCTGATGAGAATCACAAAATCGCCTACTGCTATTGAGTCAGGACTGGGCCAGGAAATGGACCTTGATGATCCTGTTTTGGACGGGTTCGCATTGCCAGAAGCTGCAAATATCACTAGAAAACCTACATTGTCTCGCATCGATACACAATCCGATGGACAAATGACACCAACTTTGAGCTCAACAGGATCCAAAACTCCTGGATTCAAACCTCTGTCGTCGCCAGTAGTTGCACTTCCTGGAGCAACGTCATCTTCCAGTCAAAGTCCTCAGATAGATGCCATGAATGGTGCAAAGAGCGCCACACGCAAGACGCCCCAAATGCTAGCACGAGGTGCTAAGAAGAGGGCAAGCAATTCCGTCCTTGCTTCACCGGCTCTTCTTCCCAAGATATCCCCTAGCATTAAGCCACTACTCCCTGGTGGTTCATCCATGCACGATGACGCGACTGCCTCCCTTTTTCTTGCGTCAAAGTCAAATTACCAAAACATACTTGAAGGAACTCATCTTCCTGGCGTTTCGTATCCTTCAGAACTATCCACTAATTTAACATCGAAACGTACTTCTCATAAACTCGCCGAACAAGGAAGACGAAACAGGATCAATTTAGCACTTACAACATTACATGATATGATACCATCCGAATATTACCCTCGAGGAAAACCTAAAGATGCTACGGGAGACAAGAGTGGAAGTGGTGATGGTGGAGAGAACGAGTCCGCAAGCTCCAAGGGTGGACAGAGTGCGAATAGTAAAGCTGCTACAGTCGAAGTCGCCATTGAATACATTAGTCACTTGGAAAAGGTTTTGGCTGAGGCCAACAAAAGAGCAGAGGAAGCGGAGCAGAAACTTGTGGAGAAAGAAAATTAATAATAATGGGCTTGAAGTGGTTGTTTCTCGGTGGCATTTCTTTTATTTTGGGAGGCAACATTAACGGAGTTGTTGATACCTGGATACCAAGCTTCTGATTTCACGGCTGAATATATTCCAGGGCATTCTAGGTGTAGAGATTTCTTCTGGGAATGACTGGGTCCTGGGGGGGGGTAATATAAAAGTTTAATTGCGAGACAACCATATTGGGGGAAATCGGCGGGAAAGCTATGTGATATGGATCTATCACTTAGCGTTTTTGATATTATTAATTTGACACACATCAACACGATCAGACGCGAGACGGCAGTTACCTGTGTTATATTCTCAGCTGCGAGGTTGTTATAATGGGTGGTGGAGTGAGTGATGGGTAATTGTAGATATGTATTTAATTTTATAAAATAAAAATATTTCCTTGGACACAATAATTGTAGTTTGCTGCTTTGTTGAAACTTTGAAAATGGTTTTGGGTATAAGAAGAGACTTGTGGTTTGGTAGGCTGTGGTGTAGGGTTCCATGGTTTCGTTGGATTGGTAGAAAATGAAGATTCGCTACTTTTGATTTGAATGAAGGGGCACATGTGGGTGATTTGCTTGAATGTCTATTTTGCTATATATGACATGAGAGTGGTAGCAGCACCTGCTTCGATATCTCTCCTGCGTGTTTATATAGACAGAAGTATGTATTAACTTAAGATCCGTATGATGTAAGATCACCAGTGGCTTAGAATGTACACCCTTGACACAGACACATGGTCGAAAATAGCTGCATCGAATGTGTCCTGTCGTGAAACAGATCGATGTATGAATATCGGCGCATGTGCATTAGGCGCTTGAAATGTGATTTTCGAGTCACCGAATGATATGTCGACATTTCCCTCTCTTCTTCTCCATTCTCCATTCTTCAATTTCGTTGCACTTTTGCTACTCTGCATCTTGTTTTCCTTGGAAATTTCTGGGGGGACACAAAATCGTGAAGAAGAGGGCTCTGAGATCTCTATGTATACGATTTCTCTCCCAACCCATCAAGAATCAACCTGTGCCTTGGAGTCCCCACTCTCCAGAACATCAACGTCTAATTCCTCCATGACCCCCAGGACGACGGATACACTCTCCATGAACCCGTTGACGGCCACGCGCAACATGCGGTTTGTGGTTGCGCGGTAGGAGGTGCGGAGGATGGATTTGGGTGCGGAAGAGGAGGGGGAGGGGGAGACGAGGGAGAAGGTGCGGAGGACGAGGGGAGAGAGCTCGGCGTCGACGGAGAGGGCGGAGAGGGCGGCGGAGGCGAGGCGCGCGGTGGGGAGGGGGATGTCGAGGGTTCTGTTGGGAGGGGTTAGGGTTTGGGGTTTGGGGGGAAGGACAGAGAAGGAGGGGTAAGGAACTTACAGTGTGCAGGGAAATTCTAGTTCGGTGGTCATTGTTGTTAATGTTTGAGGGTTGAGGTTTGAGATGTGAGGCGAAGTTGGTGGATTGTCTCGTTGTGTAGTGTATATAGTCGATTGTGTATGAATGGGGGGTCAAAAAGAGTTGTGCATGGCATTGGTTATTAATTTGGAGGGGAATGGAGATTTAAGTGCAAGGATTAGTTTATCATTTTTAAGTAGGTAGTAACCGAGTAACTTTATGGTACACATGGAAATCAACATCCATATCAAATCTATTCATCATTCTTGGGATTTGAAGGTTTGAGGTGTGGAAAATGTTCAATTTGAGATACTGAGATATACTGGTGGGTGATTTTAATAAATCGATACAGTAAATCAACATATCCAGAGGAATTTGTTTTGATTTTTGAGAATAGACCCTGTTGTTTTTGGATGATGTGTTTTGGCGGTGATAGGCACGGGATAGGGATGGGATGAGGAATAGCAGGGATATTGAAAAGTTTGGAGGGGAGGTTGGTTTGAAAAGAGTGAAGTTTCCTTGATAAGTGATGATGATGATGATGATGAAAATGATGAAAATGAAGGGGAAAGCAAAAACGCCTTTCTAATTTTGCTGAGAAAGGCTTGAGACAGATAGATTCTTCAAATGTTGACTCTGTCTAATTGATAGATGCTAGATAGATATATCTAGAGAGGTAGGTAGATGAACCCCATCAATACACCTCATAAAAAATCACAAAAATCAAAGACATACCGATACCTGGCAAGCAACTCACATTCGCCAGCCATACAATAAACAAACTATCTATTTACACACGCTCTGGCCCATATACCGTATCCTTCCATCCATCCATCCATCCATCCATCCAGCCCTTCATTATAATATAATAAAAGTTGTTTGGAATCTTGACCTCCAACCCTGGTTCATGTTGCTGGTCAATTCTCGTTGCCGGGTCAGAATAATTACTATAAACAGACTAGTAAATTGTTATTGATCGTTAACATTCACCATACATACAAATCCAAAAGAATTCCTAACAATAATTTTGGAAATCCTTCTTCTACTTAAACTTTTCCCTTTGGATTGTCATTGACACTTCCGATTTCACTCGTCTTTTTTTATGAAAAGGAAAGATATCTCCGATTCATTTGGTCGCCGTTAAAAATCATATACACACACATCAGCTCTTGCGCGGGAGTGTTTACTTGTTTTTCTTTGCAAAGTCAACAATAACAATATAAACTTTGCGCCTATCGTACCCGGTACCATCTCACCATCTTGACCTCGAGTATTCACCACAACCATCGCACTTGCCTACGACACCAATATACCTTCCCTTCCTTCAGATTTACACACTCGAGCTTCGCGACTGCCAGAATAGCTTGGTGCCTTTGTGTGCCTTATTCCACAATGCCTCCTTCCTCTCAATTGAAGTATGGGCAGATCATCGAGTACATCCCAGGTATGTTACAATATCATCACAACATCATTCACTGCGCGACTCGATCCATTGAATATCTTCGGCCCAGTATCGTTATATTATTGATATTATGCATCCAATGGACTATAATTCTATGCTCGAGTGGGCAACATTACTACCCAATGATAAATATACTGGCGCCAGCGCAAAGAAGGCTCCAAAAGAAGCTCGAGAAGAGGAGAGACCGTTCCACTGGCTAACATACACAGACCGATTGTATTTGGCATCTTACACTACACCTCCCTCGCCCGATACTCTCTTCCCGTACCCTGAGCAACAGAGCTCTCGACGATCTCCGACAAAGCGGTCAGCAAGAGCTGCAGATGGACCTTCAGTCGTTTCGGACAAGAGAGAACCACCTCATTACTTCTCCGTGGACGACACCCTCCTCTACAATGCCTTTCACCATGACTTTGGACCATTACACATTGGTCATCTCTACAGGTTCGCGGTTCAATTCCACGACATCCTTGGCGCTCCAGAAAATAAGAACAAACCTGTCGTGTTCTGGAGTAAAGCGGATGCGCGTAGTAAGCTACTGTTTCATAAAAGTCTGCTGGTTGAAAAAAACTAATCGAGTGACTTAGGTCGAGCCAACGCTGCATGCCTCCTAGCCACGTATATGGTCTTGATCCAATCATGGGCACCACATCTCGCGCTTGCGCCAATCGCTCAAGCAGACCCACCTTTGATGCCTTTCCGCGATGCAGGATACAGTCAAGCAGATTATGGCATTACAGTTCAAGACGTTGTGTATGGTGTCTGGCGCGCAAAGGAACAAGGGTTCTGCGCTTTGCCGCAATTCGATCTCGAGGAGTATGAAAGATATGAGCGCGTGGACCAGGGTGATTTCAATTGGTTGACTCCCGATTTCCTTGCATTTGCTTCCCCACAGCATCACCCGGTGCAACCAATACTTCCTTCTTCTCCACTGTATGCGAGTTTGCCAACAACATTGGAAGACGTGGACACCCACCCAACCTTACCCACCCCTTTCAAAAATGTTTTGAAGCATTTCACATCACGAAACATTGGCTTAGTGGTTCGTTTGAACTCGGAATTGTACTCTCCGTCTTTTTTCACGGCGCTGGGTATTGAACACTTGGATATGATCTTTGATGACGGCACGTGTCCACCACTTAGTGTTGTCCGAAAGTTCATTACTTTAGCACATGAGATGATTACTGTTCAGAAGAGAGGCATTGCTGTGCATTGCAAGGCTGGACTTGGACGAACGGGATGTTTGATTGGAGCATATTTAATCTACCGATATGGATTCACTGCCAATGAGATCATTGCGTACATGCGCTTCATGAGACCTGGAATGGTTGTCGGTCCTCAACAACATTGGCTTCATCTTAACCAAGGAACTTTCCGAGAGTGGTGGATTGAAGAGCAATTTGAGATCAGAATGAAGGAGAAGCTCGCCAATATGGCTCCAGTCACCCCAAGAAAGGGGCATTTCGCATCCAAGAGTCAAGTTGTTACTCCTCCAAATGGCAACCAAAGAACCCCACTTGGCGAAGTGGACAATGAGAGAAGTCACAGTATTGGAGCTCAGGAGGATTACTTGCCAGCACCAACTCCAGGTCAACCAAGAAAGACAGGCAGAATTGATCGACACCACCCATATGGTCGTCATGCTTCCGCGTACTCCGAAGATGATAGCGCACATCGTGAAACGGAAGTCATTTCAATTCATCGGTCATCAACTGATACCAATGAATCTGAAGAGGAATGGCAACTCCGCATGCGTACCCGTAAATCATCTAGATCTCCAGCCCGAAGCGATAGGTCAGGGAGATCCATAAGTCAGACCACCACGACAATTTACACATCCATCGATGACAGTAGCTACGATGTTGAGAACATTGGTACCGGAGCTAGACCTAAGACACCATCCACCGTCAAATCCGGCAGTGGCTCACTTGGAAAGGTTCGCGGCAGTCCTAAGCGTAGTGGTGACAGTCTCCGAAATAAAGAAACTTCTGGAGCCGTTCGCAAAACTAGTGGGAGAGTTGGCAGTGTTAGCACTCGCAAAGTCTCCGGCTTGTAAATGATTCACGATACAAAATCAATTCCTGTACTGTATAGTACCTTCGGCATGCATTTTAGAATTCTGGCGTCCATGTTGTCGTTGCAGCATATATGAAACAAATGCGGAAAGGGTGTGTGGCGTTATCAAATTAAACTTTGTCATTTGCTAGTGCAGATGTTGAGCATAGTGTCAGGCTTGTTTAGTCTCTTTTTGGCATTTACAACTGCTTGTTTTGTCTATTGGATGGAGTTTTAATCGGGATTTTGTTCATCTTTTCCCACGTCTATCTTGGACTTTAATGGCGAGGGTGACCATGGGTTGGATGGGTATATTGAAAGTGGCGCGTGGTGAGGGGTAACGTGGGAGCTGGTGGGGAAAGGGTGGCTTTTCTAGAAATCTCTTGCTTTAGGGTTGGGTTTGGGTTTGGGGTATGGAGTGGCATTTGTCTATTGGCTGTCTTGATTGGTTGTTTGTTCTGTTTACAAAGCTATTACGAGATCATGAGAGTTGAGAATGGTATGGTTCTGTCTATGCCTGAATATATGTAAGTAGCCTGGGCTACTTGCTATATAACATACATACGTACGTTAGTACTACACATGGTAGAATTAAATTTAATCATTATGAAGAACATACTTATGATTGAGTGATTGAGTGAGTGTTGAATTTGTAATTGGTGAGATGATGATGAATGATCTGGCGTGGGTTGTCTTGACTTGATTTGCGTCGATGCCTTTGTTGAGAATATTGTATGTCTTGGTCTATCGTTTACTTGTTTCAGATCAATGAATTACTCTTACTGCCAAATAAGTCCAAGTAGACGTAGGCACTGGCTTCTTAGCATCTTACCTAGACCAGTTTTCTTTCGAGAAAGAGGAGATGCCGACCATAGTGATGCATTGTTGGAGGATACTTTCTGGGAGATGAGTTGAGTGATTGAGTGAGTGAGTGAGTGAGTGAGTAAGAAGTGGATGTGAAACTGCGGAGTTGGATCTTTGGATTCAATGTTTTGGGATGATAGGTGATTGATGGTTAATAGTTAATAGTTAATAGTTGATAGTGTGCAGAGAGAATGGGAGAAGGAAAGAAGGAAAGAAGGAAAGAAGGAAAGAAGGAAAGAAGGAAAGAAGGAAAGAAGGAAAGAAGGAAAGAAGGAAAGAAGGAAGGGAGGAAGGGAGGAAGGGAAGAAAATTGAATGGATGGATGGGTGGATAGATGTTATTGTGTGGGTTTAAATGGAGATTGAGCTGAGCTTCTAGTGAAGAGACTTGGGACTTGGGAGTCGGGAGGGTGTTGGAAAGGGGTGTTGGGTTGTGTTGGGTCGTTGAAAAGGGGAGGGAAAGGAGAAGGAGAAGGAGAAGGAGAAGGAGAAGGAGAAGGAGAAGGAGAAGGAGAAGGAGAAGGAGAAGGAGAAGGAGAAGGAGAAGGAGAAGGAGAAGGAGAAGGAGAAGGAGAAGGAGAAGGAGAAGGAGAAGGAGGGACAACTGGTTTTTGAGGCGTATATTTGGGAGAGTAAACCCTATGAGGAGTGTGCGAGGGAAGTAGGGATGGAGGCACTGAAGTGGGTGGAGTTTGTGGATCCTTTGGTGGAGGGGGTGGTTTTTGAGGGGTTTTTGGATAGGCTGCATTTTAGGTGTTTTGTTGTTGAGAGAGCTGGAGAATAGGAGAGTTGGGTTTGGTGGTTGGTTGGTAGGGTGGTTTACTGTGGGAGGACTGGGGGGTTAGTGATATGAGAAGGGCTGGGTGAAGTGAGGAAATTGGAGTAAGGAAGCGAGTTAGTTAGACATTTGTCGAGAAACTTTACATGATCTTCTAGAGAGGTTCCTAGACATCGCAACGTTGTCGATGTCTTGACTGTACCATTTGCTAACGAAACGATCATCACATCAAATCATGCTGTGGTTGGCATCACCATGATAGGAACTTGATTGCAATGCTCTCTCATGGCCCCCATTCTATCTCTCACACTGTGATCACCACGGTCCAAGTCAGATCCTTCCCGGCCGGGTTAGTGAAAGGAATGTGCAAATCGTATTATGGAGAAGTGTCGAGGGTATCGATCGCTTACGTTGACGCCCTACAACTTTCGGTATGTCTTGTTCGAGAGCTGTCATCAAAATCAAATAAGACGGATAACTTCTTGTGTTCGTTGTATGAAACATGATTATTTCTTTTTGTTTGGTATTTATTGTCAGATCGTTTTAGATCTCTGAATTTCTTCGATATTTTGACTGACTTGGTATACTCGAGCAGTTTTTCGCAAGGAACTTTCTAGTACTACGTACCCCCCACTAGCATCCGATCGCTCGGGAGTTGGTTGTGTATCAAGTACGAATAGTACAGATCTAACGGCTATAAACAGAAATCTGAAGACTTGACAGTAATCATTATTGATAAGATCAAGTATACAGTTTCTATGCTGGTTCAATAATCTCTATACTTATTATATTTACTGTTCTTCTCTTCGAAGTTCGTTTATTCCTATATCGACTATTATCTATATATAATAGTAGTAGTAAAATCTTAATCGATTAAGTTTATTTATAGCTAAGCTATACTGACTATATAATATATCTAAGTGATACTAATTATATAAGATAAATAAGAAAACAAAGAAAACAAAGAAAACCTATCCCTTTCTAAATAATTTAGATTCACTATTATAAAATCTTCCTATTTATTTCCTTATAATCCCTAGAATCTTTTATTTCTTATATCTATCTTTATTATTCCTTTCTATTCTATTTAATTTAATTTCTTTTAATATATGAAATCCTATAATTAATATATTACTACCTTATTACACGTGCCTTATTATAGGAATATTTTTATTTTCGAATTCTTAACCTTTAAATTCTTCGAATTCTATTTATAGTATAAATAATTTCAATTTTAATTCTATATTATAAAATATTCTATTTCTAACCTTTTCCTTTTAACACTTTAATTAGATTAAATTCTATTTGAAATGTATTATCTTCGTTTCTATTTCATTTTACTAATATTATTTCTATAATAAAAGGGTTTCAAAGCTTTATAACAAAGGAGATTAATAATTATATAGCTAATCTTAATTTATTTTCGATATACTAATAATCTAAAACAAATCGTATAATAAATATAGAATAGATTATAATATCGATTTTTAATAACGTAACTTATAGTGAACCGGATCATATAGGAAACCAGGTCATAAAATTCAATTCTCTTTATATGATCTTGTTCTATAAGCTATATATTCATTCAATTCCAACTTTAAATTACTTGAATTACTTTTTGACTCTTTTTTTTTCAATTTTCTTTTTTAATTTTTTAATTAAATATTTATATAATTATTCTTATAGTTTTTTCTCCTTAGATTTTTCCTTTACTTTATATATTATTTTTAATATTTCTTTATTATTAAAAACAAATTAACCTTATAGTTTAATTCTTTTATTTTTAATTCTTTTCTTTCAAATTTCAATTATTTCTTAAGCATTAACAAATTATTTTTGAAATAGGACTATCTCAGCATTTTGAGATTTTATAAGTTTAGTTATTCTTTTAATATATTAATGAATTAGTGATATAAAAGAATTATTATTTACTAAAGCTTTATTAAAGATTTAATTTGTTTGTCTTAATTTTATTCTATTTGAAGGAAAGCTTCTAAGTATAAATAAGTTTAGATCTTAATTGAAGGTTTTTATTTATAAAGTGGAAGGTTGTTGGGAGGAGTTAAATAATAATGAATTGAATATTTTTCGTGGGGCAAAAGGTACTAAATTAGCTTCTTTTTAGTCAATTTTAATATTAAAAGAATTCAATGCTTTTTTTCTAATGTTTTGAAAGAGTTCTATTTATTCAGCTTTTTAGATTTGTTTTACATTAGCTCGAGAATATCAATCAATCTTTAAAGTATAATATCGTTTTATTAGCTTATACACTATAATATTAAATAGTTGAAGTAAATAGAAGTAATAAGAAGATAATATAAATAAATCAATATCTTTTTTTATATAGAAAATAATAAAGTTGTCTGTAATATGATTTGAATGATTATTTATAATTAAAAATCGAGATCAATTATTTAATACTTTCTTGGATTCTAATTCGAAAACCCTTTTTAATTATTCTAATTCATAATTATTTGAGATTTATTCATTTATATTAATAAAGAACTATCAGCTTTAAGGTATATCCTTTGGAATCCATATAGAATTTGTATTTTAAACCTTAAAAATAATCATAAATAATAGAGTCTTTCCAGCTATATTAATATATTCAAATATAGTTATTCATTCTTGTTTATTAACTATAACTTTTTAATTCGATTTCTGAATAGAATTAACTATAATATATATACTTTAAATACTTCCAACTTCAAATCCAATTTTGTTTATATTATATATATTATTTAATTTATACTTTTATTTAATAAAATATATATGAAATATATCAAACCAAGTCTAAATATTCTTCAATATTGCCTCTTTAATTTGATTAAATTCTAATTAATATAAATAGTATATTTTAAGTTCTAAATATCGTTTTTGAAATCTATAAATTCATTTATAGCCTATAGATGGAATTTCTATTAAAATAGAAATTCGAAATAACACAATCTAAACACATCGAAAATAAATTTCGTTGACCATTTTTTTCATTAATATAGGTATAGTAGGGAATTTAATAATAATAAATTGTAAAATCCATTGTACAAAAGTATTTTCTTTTATATTTGAAAGAATTTAAGCCATTTTGTAGAATTAAGTATATGATTTCCTTTTAGCAATCTTAATTATAAGAATTGACTTAGAAACTTCAAAATACTCTATAACCTTTCTAATTGATTTAAATTTCTTTAATTGAAGTGTAATAATAACATTCTATATCTTTTTTTCAATTTGAAAAGATGTAAAAGGTGATTTAATATATATAACAAAATTTATTAGGGTTTGAAGTCAATGATGGGCTAAATATAACCCGATTCCTCATATGACCTGGTTCATCATAAGTTACATTATAATATATATTCTATATTATCAAGGATTCTTATTCCCTTTTTAAATCATTAATGATATATTATATACTCTAAAAGGATTATAGTTAATATTAATATATTACGATTTCTATTATACTTTAGAATTAGCTTTATATATAGAAATTATATTATATTGAGATTTAAAGGATACTATTTCTTTATATAGAATAATTATAAGTATTATAGAAGGATTTTATCTTTATATATTAATAATATTATTAAGGATATTTTTAAAATAATTAAAGGTGTTGAAGTGCTTTTTAAAGAGTTTTTTTTTCTATATTTAAACCCCTCTTTTTTATATATAAGATTCTCTTATAAGATTATTAAGTATTAAAAAGTCTAAATCATTATAGAAAAAAGTCTTTTTCATTAATTTATTTGATATGATTACTTTATATAATAATCATATTAATTATTCTGAATATTCTATACTAACAACAATAACTATTCAATCCAGGTAAATATTGATATAACAATTATAAAAGAAGGTATAAAACGATTCTCTAAATCGAATGTAATATAAATTAGAGAGTTATTTCGAAAAAACTCTTCTTAGCTTTTTTCATGTTCCTATTCATATATATAGGACATCAAATTCGATAAAATCTGAAAAGATCCAGAGTCGTCGATTTGAATTCTATCTTGGAGTGTGGGATGGATGGGGATGGAAAGGTTGGTGAATTAGTCGGCCATCATTAAATATCAACTCCTCGCTTGAGCATATACAATAGATAAGTTTCTCCTGTTGATTTTTCTCTACATATCAGTGCTTTTTATGCTTTTTAAGCAATATGATAATGTTATCTAATTGATGGGGATTCAAAAACGTCTTGCGGAAAGCGATGGGGTGTTGAGGAGGGAGAATGAGGTGTTGACTCGGAATGAGGAGTTGTAACGCTTATTTAATACATATTTGTTATTGATTGGAATTTATAGTATATGAATGTTTAAGAATGACGCCGACTTATTAGTCGAGTGGTTTGCGTGGTGGGAGTTCTCTATTCTGAGTACTCTGGGTAAAGCTAATTTTCTAGTTTTCACTTATTCTCAGAAAGTTATCAATTATGTCGCATGATTTTAGGAGGAGCTTTTCTTTCATACTTTCAGTTGATATAATTTTTCTATCTTGATACTTCAGATGCATTGATTAAATTCGTCCTGTGGGATCAGCTGCACCCTAAAGACTTTCAATCGTACTTGAATATACATTAAATTAATGGTCGCACATCGAATAGTATGACATGCCGATAGGTAAAGTTGCAATCGTTAGAACCCTCTGAAGATTCCATGCATTGATGTATAATCCCATGAGGAATATTTGACAAAGAGACCAAGGCTAAAATTGCTTTTTCCCAGCCAAACCTTTAATCCAACACGCTCGCTATCTATCATATCTATATAGAATATATTATATCACTAGACGAGTTTGCTGAAGATATTGTCGGGCAATAAAGTACTCCATCTTTCGCTTAGTTACCCCTTTTATACTAAATCCCCAATCCATCTCCATTATTTTTCCTTCAGCGAGCCTAGTGGCACAGAGAACTCTTTTTTCTGGCTCCTTTATTGGCTTATATACTGAAGCTCCGTGATATGTCTCAGGGATTTCAAAGGTGTTGTGACTTGTTAAAAGATGTATCATTAAGTGAGAATTGCTAAAATTATGGCTAGATTTAGAGGATATAGATCCAAACTCGGAATTCTAGTGGCTCCATCTAAAGTTTGTTTGTTTTATGGGTTTCATTTGGCGATGTCTAGCGTGAATGATTGAGTGAGCGACGATTTATGTTTGAGAAGTTGTGGATTTTCGGGTTGAGAACGAGATAGTGCAATGAAATAGAGAGATTGAAAAACTTCTCAGCCCAAAATCCAGCGACTCGTTTGATTAGCCCGTCACCATATCGTAGCCTCAGGTTCAATGGAATCACGATAATAATTTATCTCTTCCTTCAATTACTCTCACGTCGTATCAACTCCTCAGGCCTGAAGCAGCGTTGGCTCCAATACAGCTCTATAAGCAACCAAGGCCGATACAACAGCCAGTCGATTTTGTAATTTATCAAACCCTTCTTGATCATTTGCCGATAGATCTTCCTGTAAATAATCCTGCGCAGCCGTTCGATAACTGCGTCCATTTGGTGCTCTACAGTTCACATAGGCTCCGTGTTGAAGTAAAATGACAACACAGTCACAATAACCTTTGCGTATCGCGTGATATAAGGCATTGTGACCATCTCGATCCTTTTGATAGATATTATCACCAATTTAGCAAAGTAATTCGACAATAGCTTTGGTGGTGGATTCATTTGTGGAAAAAGTAGATTCGATGATGGCTGCGAGAAGTGGTGTTCTACCGGCTTGATCATAATGATCGATGTCTGCTCTGAAAAATATGTATTGCTTTAGCTTATTGATGGTTCTTTCAGTATCTTCTAGAGTACAGGTTCTGGGTGGTAGGACCAAACAATGGAGTGCATTACCACCCGTACTATCTTCGGTGTTCGGAACAGAATCCGCCACGTTGAGGTTGGAATTTCTAAGAACCGCAATACGGTTTTGTGTCTCCTCAATACAGTTACCAAGGATTTCAGTATATGTAATGAACCGATTGGCAATATTTTCGTAGACTACTGTAGCTTGGGCGTAGCCGACATGGCCATATGATGCAAAAGGATTTTGAGCTTGAGCCACGTTTCGTATATGTTGTGCTGCTGTCAGACCTTGATTATCCCGAAGCGAGAATTGTATTGCTCTTCCGGGTCCGTAGAAATCTACTAGATCATGATACACATGAGGTATTATTGGATTTGGAAGAAGACCGTGCAGCACCGATCGACCATTATGATCACGTTGCTCTAGTAAACCGGTATCTTTGAACATCTCAAGGAAGTTAATCAAATCACCACTAAAATGGCTGGCGTCCAAAACATGTAAGAAGCTCTAGCTAATAGTCTTTAATCGTCTAGGGTCAATGCCTGACGCAATCATGTGTTCAAGGACATCCTTTCGCCCAGCTGCTGCAACGTAGTGGAGTGGAGTATTTCCTGCCCCATCAATTTCGTCTCTTTTGAAGACATGTCTTATTAGTATTGTGAGAATTTGATGGTCAGGTAAATCGATCATGCAAAGACAGACAGCATGAATTCGAGAAACCCCATATTCGCATATAGTTCTCTTGCCGAGTGCAACATCCATGTGATCATTCCTACAAGGAATCGTGTGTAGTATAGATGATCGGCGTGGAGAATCTAGCTTCTGTCGTAGAAGAGAGTTCATTTCATTCGATGGAATCATGGAGTTAGCATCGAAGAGTTGGTAATAAGCTTCATCCGGGCTGTCAGGTCTAGGGTCAACCATGTCAAAGTCTCCATCAACAGACGCCTCTTGTTCCTCTTGTATGTTATCATCTATTTCATGGTAACCTATCAATTTCTCTACCACTTCCGTTGAGTAGTAGCCAGAATCGGTATCAGATTTGACAGACGAGATTGGTGCAGTCAACACACTGGGGTTGATATATTCGGAGGATATTATATCGTTATGTTTCGAGTTTCGGCCTAGCCAATAACTTCCTGTAAGATTTATGAACTTGCTGAAGAAGGCAAGCTAGTGTTCGTTGGAATTTGCTCATTGGTGAATTCTTCAAAACTTCTCGGCGAAACACTATCTAATTGGAAAGGATGGTCCAGAATTTCAGGATCTGGTGGCATAATAAATTTCGATGCTGTGTGTTGAAGTGGTTTTATGACATCGGTTATTGTCTTTCCTATAGCCACGCCAAGAGTTGGAGAATCTCCAAATCCAAATGGTGAGTTGAATACATTGACGTGGACATGACTGGGACCAGCATCCGTTTCTAAATTCGATAGGTCAGATACTACCGAGAAATTTCTCTGAAGCTCAAGTTGAATTGTTCCTTCCCAAGCTGCTGCTTCCTCTCGTAATCGAATCAAAAATATCTGTCTAGATTGTGGATTAAAAAGGTAACCCCATGCCTCTAATCTATTATCACAAGTTCGAGGTCTGTTATAGTATATACTAATCAACCATCGTGAGAGACCTCAATTATTGTACTTACGATTGACTTGGGCACCGGTAGTCTGTAGCAGTGATCTCTCGTAATATACCGGCGGAGCTAGAATTTCGCATGTAGTAGAAAAAGATATCGTGTTTGTGTGCTTCCCATTCGTGATGCTTCCGAACCTCAGAGGGTTTCAAGAGTTTTCCGTGAATGGTGTTTGGCTTGCTGATGCGTTTTCGCTCTTCGCGTTCCTCGTAAATATGCTTGTAGAAACTCTTGTCCGTGACTGGTTTGTAGAAAGGAAAAACAGCGCTCGCACTCCTCTGGTGAGATATAGGACGGTTCGGCATTGGGGGTAGACATGCTGACTCAATGGGTCCCCTGAACCCAAGGAAGTCGGAAGGTCGCAGGACTGTCATAAGAAACTCAAAATTTGTGGTACCAGTCGCGTTCGTAGTGTTCGACAAGAAGCCAACCAAATTTCTTCTGAAGGAGAGTGGTCTAGTCGCAAGTAGCTCATGGAATAACATAAATAGAAGGTATGACCAAAGAATTCCCAGTTGTCCTTATAAACCAATGACTGATCCAGAGATTTCACGCTGGATTGGAAATGCTAACATGAACATTGAGTCGTAGAAGGAGAGGAGGATTGCCACGAAGCCTTATGAGTGACAAGGCTGGACTTGGATTTCATCCAAACCTCCCCAGCTTGTAGAGAATGATTACAAAGTACATGAGATATACTCGAAAATTAAACTATATACAATGAAATAGACATCGTTTGCGATAGCAATATGACAATGAACTATAGAGAATGAACATTGAGACAACAGCAGCACAGTGAGAAAAATGATGAGGGGTGATGAGCATATCGAAATATTGCGAATGCGCCACTACGTGATGGACCGGCATATCAATCATATTCAAGGCTTGTCTGTTTCTAAGGGCTTGCATTGTGAACTTGTAGTGGCATTGGCCTTGACCAAGGCTCATTCAGCCACTGGACTGTATTCAGGCGAATTGCGAACTTGCGAGCAGGGGTTTGGGAGATTTCATCGTTTGGAAAAATATTAAGAGCCGCATGCTGAGCTCGTTTATCTTACACTCAGGCCCTTCGGTGATCATATAAGATCAACAGACTGTTTAGCCTTGATGTTGAAATACAGCCTCCATTATATCGATTAATATGAAGTCTGGTCAACAAATACCTAACTCTATAGACTACCTTCTTTCAAGTTTTACGGTAAATTACTCTTCTGATATGTCAGGGAGTAGAGGTATCGATGAACTGTAGGGATCGAATGGTTGTATTGATTGTGAAGAGAGAAGAGAAGAGAGCTACGAAAGGGAAAATATATATATCTATACCCTCCTACGTGCCCCTTAGCTACATTCACAGCCACGTGATGTAAACACGTGCACCCTTAACATGATAAACACGAAAGACGAATCACAACTTCTTGATTCATCTTTATCTTAGCCCCTCACTTGTCAAATGTTAACATCCATACCATGGAAGAAATGCACCCTACTACTTACCATCAAGTTTTGTGCTAGTAATAAGCTCTTCCCAATCCTCTAAGATCTTCAAGGTGGACAAACATTTGTTCTTAATCTGCTGGAGGCAATCAGGGCCTAAAGGAAGTCTTAGTGGAGTTTCTTTACCAATAGCCAAGCCTTCTCGTCTAACAATATCGACAATGCGCTCTGCGGACTTCTTGGGATCCCCGGGCTGATTGCCATGAACAGCCTTACCGTGCCTTTCAAAACAGTCTGCGTGGGTTTGTACTCCGGGATCGAAAGTGGTGCCCACTTGACATTAGCTTCAGAACATACTTTTGTACGATAGTAGCCGGGCTCAAGAATCATGGTCCGAATACCAAATTGCGATGTCTCTTTTTGAAGACACTCTACAACAGCTAGGAATATCATATCAGTGAAGCCGTCGAGAGCGCACTTGTGGAATTCCTCACCTTCCAATCCAAACTTGCCCATGCAATAGAGGCCTGCGCCAACTTCACCTTGCTAGCCACTAACAGAACCCATAAATATGATAGTTCCGGCTTTTCGTTGATGAAAGTGAGGAAGAATGGAACGAGTCAAGTTGACAGGTCCAAATTGGTTGGTATTGCAGCTCGCGACGAGTCTTTCATGGCTCGAAGCAATATCATTAGTAAATAGTTTTGTTATTTGTGAACATTAAGGAGCTAACGTAATGTCTTCGATTGACCCAGCCTCAATGTAGCCAGCATTGTTGATGAGGACATCGATGCTATTGTAAATTTTGAGAGCCTGTTTGACTTTTGCATCAAGTTCGGCCTGTGAATCGGTCACATCAAGCGACATGGTAGCTGCACCGGCATTCTTGAAATGCTTGATACGATCTGTAGATCCTCAGGTGGTGGCTATGGCTCGATCGCCTCGGGCTAAAATACTAAGGATAAGCTCCTCTCCGAAGCCGGATGAGCAGCCCGTCGTAAGCCAACCGAGTTGGGTCATGATTCTGCTAAAAAGTCGTTTATCCCAGAGAATCGTAAACTGACATGTAGTTCTTTTAAAATGAAGAGTGACTGAGACGAATTTGTGGAAAGTGTTGACGAGCTTTATTCTTCAGGAAATTACATATAATCTGCGCCGCAATAATAAGACAGTCCGCGCCGCTATGAATCACTCATCCAACATTTGGTTTTCAATTACGAGTCATGTAGACAACCGCGGGGTATGTGTATATGAGCTGATTTTATGTGCTGTGCTATCAGCTCAATATGCTGACTTCATAAGCACATTAGAGATATTTAAACTCAGACCTCACATTTCGAATCAAGTCGCAGTGCAAATTCATGTAGCCGGGCATATTACCTAGGTAATTTCTTAATTCCTTTCAAATTGCCGTTTAAGTCTATTCAGTACAAAAAAACTCCCCCCGAATCCCAAATTTGCCCATGATATTCGTTCGTTATTTTCCTCGAAAGTTTTCATCATTTCGTGAAGCGTGAAGGTCATTCTTTAATCATGTCTAAGTAACATAGCTGCAATATGTTAGCTTTATTATCGGCGTTGGACACTGATAGTCATACCTTAAGCGTTCTCGCTCAACTACTGTTGCTGCCGCTGCTGCTGCCGCTGCTCGTTGGTCGATTTCGAAGTCTTCCAAAGTTGACCTTGGCAGGAAAATACTTGGCCAGCATTTTCCTGTACATTGGCTATCAAAAATTAGCTTGAATGTGGATCTGCGATTGGGGTGAGTCTTACAATGAGCTTCTCAACATCGGGAGGGCTATCACTCTTGCTGTAAAGATCGAACTGGTTGAAATCCTGTACCCACGGCTTCATCGCTCGATCATGATCATTCTCAAAATGCGAATATTCATTCTCACGATGCCATGGGTAGAACGAGTGATAACGGATCATTGCCAAAGCCTCAGGTGGGAGTGTAGATTGGTCTTTGAGAATCTGGTAAAGAACTTCATCATGACCCCATGACATCATGACATTGTCTAATCCACAACCTGGAGAATAAATGCCGTATTTGGTATTGTAGCGAGGATCATTGAAGTCTGGATTATCTTTGAGACTCTCATAGAGTTCGATACCCTTCGAGTACTCGGCGCCTACTATGAAGGTATCTCCGACAGTATCCCACTGTCCTTGACCCCCCATGAGGCACCATAGTTTGCCCAGGTCATGAACAAACCCAGTAACAATCATCCAATCGGGCCGTCCAGCCAGTCTTACTGCTTCGGATGTCTGAAAAAGGTGCTCTAGTTGACCGACCTCAGTATCAGGATCTGATTGGTCGACAAATTTATCGAGAAGCAGTGCACCGTCCATGACATCCATTTCCCACCGGTCTCTGTTGGCAAATTCTTGACGAGTTGTGATATTGTATTCCACAGTTTGTTTTTGATGTTGTCTATTGGAGGGTTAGCATATACGATCTACATATACGGAAAAGGAAAATGGCAGATTCATACTCTGTGTAAAATTGTTTAACATGGTCTTTCGACTCATCATATCGTCGAAATAGCGTCTTATCTTTCTCAGCGCCAGGCTTTTTCATATCGGCTTTGATAACGTTGAGCTCGTCGATTTTGTCGGAGGTCTTCTCCATTGCTTGTATATCTACTCCATTTTGAAATGGGATAGTATGTTGCTCCTCTGCTGGTGCGAATGAAGACTTAACCTCTTGTTCCCTGGCTGAAACTACTGAAGACATGTTCAATAATGGTAAAGTAAATAAAGGAAGGTAGATGATTAAAAATTAGGAGGTCTTCTGGAAGTATTTTTGAGATTCCAAGCAATAGAACCATATGCGTAACTGGACTGAAGGTACCTGGGTACTTATACTTCTCCCGCCCTTCCAAACGGGGAGCTATTACGATATCATACCTAGGTTCCTGGATGATCATTTGCCAAGATTCAACTATGTATTGAGTTCCATTAGAAAGGGGAAATAAACATTTCTTCGGGTCATGGCAAAGAAACCACCTAGGTAATGCGTGGGGGTATGAGGGGAGGGGGTGGAGGGGGTGGAGGGGGATTGACGGGGAGATGTGGAAACTGGGGTCACAGATTTATAGAGCTTGTTGATGATCAGTTGTCAATATTAAGGAAAATTGCTTAATTGGGTGTAGAGAGAGTAATTTTTCGGACTTTTTACCGGTCCCCTAGATCTTCCAAGGTTAAATGATCAGCGGTCCATGCGGGGATATATGTAGGGATATATGTGGGTAGTATTATGCGACGGAAATAGAAAAATTACTAGATCGGGTGATGAGATGGTAATTTCGGAAATTCTTACTTCTGTCCTATCTCTTCTTTCTTCTCTGAACTACCGAATTTGGCAATTACCGTCTATTCGTTTCTGAGACCGGGAATCGGCAATGATGCCTCTACCGGAGTATATCCATATCCGTCGTTCTTGGCAACTTTGTTCTACTTTAGAGTTTTACCCGAAGTCAACGTTATCATCACATGTTCTCACGATGCCAGGAAAACCCCTCTGGTTACAATATAAGAGTTGTGGGAGAATTGTGGGAGAATTGTGGGTAAGTTCTTGATAATTCTCATCAAAAACCTGTCTAACTGGATTCATTACGCATCATTCTGACGTGTTACAACATGAATAGTCTAGGAGTCTAGAATATCAATTACCTAACCACCAATATGCGTCTCATATCTACAGAGTAGACTATCTAGTGAATCGACCCCGAATCCAAAGCCGAGCTTGGCAGAATGGTCAAGAGGCAGAAGAAAGTATGCCGATGAGATGTTCTTTCGGTCTTGGCTTGTGACGACAATCCTTTGCACTATTGACGTCTAACAAGAAGGTTTACCGCTACAGAGTCCTTACTCCCATGTTAATATAAATACCGGTAAGTATGTAACGACTGATGCGAAAGATGATGCAAAGCGTTGTTGGTGAATGGTTCTATTACTTCATGGCTCAATGGCAGTTTCTTGTTTACTCGTTCCAAGCATCACTATGATGGATGGCCATTTCAAACCATTCTCTACTTTCTACCATTTTCCATTTACTACATCACACCTCGGAATCCAAATTTCAATACCGAAGCTCCCCTCTTCCAGATAATTGCTAGGCCCGAGCCGGTTCCACATGCCCTTCATTCTCAGCGCGGGGTTGACGAGAAAATGATCGATTACATACTATTTGAATAAGTTGACACTATCGGGGTATTCGTTGAATCGTGCTCGTGTTAGACCACGAACTGTCAAATGGAAATGAAAAATCAGCATAAGAGGAGCAATACTCAAGCCTCGATGACCCTGATTCGGCCCATTGCCGTATATGCTGCACTCCCCGACCATATGTCTCATTCGGAGAGTGCACATGACCTACTAGTGATACTAACAGCACAGATGCACGTCTGAAATATCGTCCTAGATACATTCTGGCGAACCTTTTTCATCTAAATACATGTAGATGAGCCCTGTCTATTCCATCTCACAATACCTATGTGAAGCTGACCTCTGCTTTCAGATCATGTAGGGTATGTCATTCTCTCTGTTCCTCATTCTCCGATCCTGTGATATTGACCCGTCATATAAGCAATTCTATTCTCAAAGGTCTTGTGCAAAAGCAGGTCTACTTTGCTAACGAAACTGGAATCTTTTTGCGTTATTGGTTGAAAGGGAAAATCCATGCTTTAGTGAGCTGGGTCGAGATTCTCCAGATGGAACGTCTTCTGGCTACAGTTAGATAAAATCAAACGCAGTCACAAACTTGTCCACCCTTAAGCCACGAAACTTTTATAGATAGTTCGATTTGGACTTTAACATCAATAATTAATCTATCAAATAAATTAATTCCTTTAAACCAAGTCCCAGATGTAATCTAGAAAGCCGTTGTCGACCAAACGATCCTCTAACTCTCTACATAGCTCACTAGATATGATTAATTAAATCCTTCTGACTCTATACCAAAAAAACTGAACTCCACCAGCACATCAGTAATTACTCTAAATCCTCGCTCTTATCGATCTTTGGAAAGATGCATTAAGCAAGGAGTATTATCTGGCCATGGGCGAGGAATGGCTCCAGATAGAATACATGCTTTTATGACTCAGTGGTGTCAACCAGAACTTTCAAAACCAAGCTACCATTCTCATCCTTGACTTTACCAGCCATTGCAAATGCTTCCGGAATACTCTCGAATCCCTTGTACCTCTGAGTGATCAACTTTGAGAGATCAGGGAGCAAAGGATCTTTGCTCGCAACGAGTTTGATAGCATCCGCATAAGTGTTTGCATATCTGAAAACACCCACGAGATCAACTTCTCGTAGAGCAGCTGCAGAGATTGGCAATGTTTGAATTGGTGTTCCCATTCCAATTAGCATTATCTTTCCGCCTGGTTTAGTCGCCTGAAGAGCGTTAGCACCAATCTTCCCATCCTATGAAACATCTTTTGACTTACATATATGGATGCCTGAAGACACGATTCAACACCTGTACATTCGAATACTGCGTCAACCTCCCCTTCTCCAGATGCCTTCTTGACCAATTCGGCGACCTCTTTCGCAAACGCCAACTTATCCTCAATTGTCTGAGGTCGGGTCATTGGAACCAGTAGTTTGGCATCTGCAAAATTGTTCTGAACTGCAAAATCTAATCGGTCGGGCTGTATATCTGCGATGACAATATTCTTGGCACCGGTAACTCTGCACATTGCCGCACATAAGAGGCCTACTGCTCCAGCACCGAAGATGAGCACCGTCTTGCCCTTTGGCAAAGCTGCTCGTCTTTCACCGTGGATTGCGACGCTGAGAGGCTCGAGCACGGCACCGAGCTCAAGAGATACATTTCCAGGTAATCTACCCCAGTGAGCACGTGGCAGAAACAAAATACAGAATCAATACCTACAAATGACAATATGCTGCAGGATGATTAATCCGTTCTTGCAGAGTTCCTTGGAAATGTGGGAATGCTTTCGCTGAACTTCTAAACTTCATTTCTTTGCAGATATTGTATCTTCCATTTACACATAAATCACAAGTCTTGCAAGGAAGTCCAACTTCTAAGGCAACGCGGTCTCCAACTTTCAGATTACTGACTTCGGAGCCAACAGCAGTGACAACTCCAGCAGATTCATGTCCAAGAGTCATAGGCTCCCGGACAATGATATCTCCATTTCGATAATGATTATAGTAATGTAAGTCAGATCCGCAGAGACCAGTAGCTTGCACGGCGACTTGTACCTCTGTTGGTTCAGGTACACCTAGAGTACGAGTTTCCTTTTCGAATGTCAGCCTTTGTTTTCTTACCCTCTGCAAATAAGTTACTTGAGAACACCTAACTTACAACTTTCAGATCTTTGGCGCCATGAAGCACGGAAGCTTTCACTTCTCTTTGCTCGCTACTTTCGATACTATTATTAGATGCCATGATGCCGAGTACTTTCTTGTAGAAGAGATTGTATGTTGATAATCCTGATTTCATTCCCAGGTCAAAACGTGTACTTGAGTGACATTTTACAGTAATTAAGTACATCAGCTAGTCTTTGTACTAAAATGCCATATTTTATGCCGACAAATCAACAAACCGGTTATGACGGTGCTACCAACCCCACTGTGGAGAAAATCCGAGAGCTACCCCCACGTTCTATAACATCTCAGGCCGCAAATCGGAGTGGAGAGTGGGAGCACAAGAGCACATTACTTAATTGTTCAATCGATGTACGAACTCAAGTACTAATAAGTATTAATCCCCAATTGTCAGACCATGTGAGCCTTCACGGATTAACACCTTCGGGTACAAGAATCATACAATGGCAGCCACAGCTTTATCAGCGTTATTCTCTCTAGAGGGTCAAACCGCACTCGTTACGGGTGGCACTCGAGGTATTGGACAAGCTGTCTGTATAGCACTTGCTGAAGCAGGAGCAGATTTGATCTTGATACAGGTAATTAGCTCTCGTTGCACCGGATTCAAACTGTATTGTACATATGTACTGACGAAAGATTTCCCACAGCGTAGTCGAGAGAATCTCGAGACTCAAAAAGCTGTTGAGGCGCTTGGCAGGAAAGCTCCTATATACACCGCGGACCTTGCATCGCAGGAAGAAGTCGCCGGCATCACTTCTACGATCTTGAAAGATGGTCACTCGATACATATCTTGGTAAATTGTGCTGGGATTCAAAGACGCCATCCGAGCCACGAATTTCCCGATAATGACTGGAATGAGGTACGCGTCTTATTCTCCATAATGTGAGATGGTGGATTGTGCTAATAGTTATCGTATTTAGGTCATCCAAGTCAACCTCAATACTGTCTTTACCCTCTGTCGCGATGTTGGTGCACACATGTTGAAGCTCGAACCATCTGCCATTACCGGTCGACGAGGTAGCATCATCAATTTTGCCAGTCTTCTTACCTTCCAAGGTGGTCTTACTGTTCCAGCATATGCTGCATCGAAAGGTGCGGTAGGACAGCTTACCAAAGCTTTATCGAACGAATGGGCATCGAAAGGAATCAATGTCAATGCGATTGCTCCGGGGTATATCGAGACGGAGATGAACACTGCCTTGTTGGCCAACCCAGAACGATTGAGGAGTATTAGTGAGAGAATCCCGGCGGGTCGATGGGGTGCCCCAGATGATTTCAAGGCGAGTGTTGTTTTCTTGGCGAGCAAGGGAAGTGCATATATCTCTGGAGAAATCCTTATGGTTGATGGTGGCTGGATGGGCAGATGAAAATTTGTCAGGTTGAAAATAATATATTTCTAATTTTAATTTGATGCTCTTTGACTCTCTACCGTTTTTCTCAATGTTCATGGTCATCTAGATATTCAGGTTCTCTCCGTCGTCAACCCCAGACTGGAGGGCAGAAGCTATCTTATGTTGATTTCTGACTCTGGCGGGATCAATTGGTTCAAGGGTCTCATATTCAGTCTATAGCACAGTATGGAATCGTTTACCTATGATTTATTTAATGTTCCAGTTCAGGGTTTCAGTATACTACTGTAAATCCCACTCATGGAGACTGATCATGACACACCACAACTATCTGCATCGATGTCATTCCTTTTCTTTAGATTATTCCTTGTGCCTTTTTGACATTCGGTATTCACAATTGCTGCCGCTCCCGGATGAGTACCTCAACGTCAATCAATTTTTCCAGATATATCCAGCCTACCTACCTACCACCGTTTATGCTATTTCTTCCAGTGACTACTTCCCCAATGCCGGCATATACTCCCGTCGATGAACATTCAATTGACTGCTTTTCTGTCTCTGCGTTCCATAACCCATCTATATGATCTTATCTCCGAAACATCCCCCGCCAACCCCACGCACAACCATGAAAAAAAAAATCTTTTGCAAAACATCCATGAAATAGATCAACCAAAAATATCAGACAAACGGTGTAATGATACTCCGGATTGTTTCGTGGGGATACATATTATCCCGGGGTCTAGAACACTAGAGAGCTTCTGAATCCACATTATGTGGCAATCGATGAACACTCGAAGAGAAAATACACAACACCTTGACTTTCACACTTTTTCTCCATAGAATAGACTCAAACCCCGAAAAGAAATCCTTCCTCCCTTCCTAATCATAAAAGCCACGCCCCCTTAAACCTATTCGCTTGACTCCCAAGCAATGACAAAAGTTTCCACCTAATAAAAACATCAACAACTTCCTCAATTTCACAGCTAAAAAGATGAAAAGATACGCAAAATGATATTGGAGCGGCAGGGAGTCGAACCCTGGACTTCATCGAGGCTTATCAGATGTATCTGTGAAGGTATCTGACAATGCAAACGAGGCACTCTACCACTGAGTTACAGCCCCTGGTTATTATTGTTGAAGGAGAAATATCTGATCTGGTATATATTGATAATTAGTGGTCCACGCGGAAGATGTGGAGTTCATGCAGAGAAGTGCACATTGGATTGGCAGTTGTCGAGTGTGAGACCCGCTGAAGGGCGGGGTCCACTACCCCTCTTCTTGTTAATTTTTTTTTTAACGCTCGAGAATCAAGAGGGTTTATTTACTTGTAACGAGTGTTTGATGTTCTGATTGAATTGTTTTTTTATTGGCTTCTTGGCTAATATCTGATCTATCATATTAATACACCAGTTTGGTGGAAAGCAGCATCCACTTCGTCGCCGCCTGTTATGGTATTCACTTCTGGCTCATCCCCATTTCCATGGTAGAGTTGTTGTGGAGTGGGGGCTAACAATCATATTTCACTATCATTTATATAACTTTAGCAGCATTTTCGAACATCCCGGGTAGACTCGAGGATTCATAGCCATCGGATGTTTCGCCTGAATCCAGGTGTCTGAAGCTGCGGATTGACGGACGGCAGTACACACTGCTGGAAATCATGATGCAAGGATGTCAGGAACTTCTCTTGAAGGCAGATAGAGGATCAAGGAAGTTCAATGATGATCATCAGAGTTCGAAGTCGTAGTCCTGGACAAGATCGGGGGGAACCGGACCCCGTTTCTCAAATAGACGTCGTTGTAGAGTGAAGACACAAGCCTGAAGTAAGATCTATTCTTTTTAAATAGTCTACTTCAAGAGACACTTTAAAGATTAGCCAAGAACGATACTGTGAGAAACGTGAGGCACCGGGCGACTCCAGATATGAAGCAGCCACACTTTCACTGCATTCGAATATTGGAAAATAGCATTAAGCGTCATGTAGTAGTACATTTATGCAGGTCGTTGTTCGGACTCTCTGTTTTAATAATCTGCTCAATCCGTTATTCTACTCTCCCTCATATCCTGTGAGCTGTCGCATAGGTATCAAGAGACCGACGTATATGATGGGAAGAGAGCGCCATGAAAAGATTGTCCTAGTCCGGACTTCTTAATCGCGCGGAGCAAGTCGTTTCAACCATCCGGAGATAGAAAACTCTAATCCGACGTCGGGTTGGGAGAGCGTTGAGCTTGATGAACGATTGACCGATTATTATCTTTCGAATCAAATATCAATCTGGTAAACACAATTCAAAAAACAATGGCATTATTGATATCTACTTAAGATACGAGGATGCAAAACTCATCCTCAAAGCAATATCAAGTGGTTAATCGGCTGCTACTGTTCAATCCAGAAGAATGCGAGCTCATTTTCCCTCTCAAGACTTGGAAAGAAAAAGAATATTCCCTGATTCTTTCAAACCCTACCTTTTAGAAAAACAACCGAGGTCTGACACCTTGAGTTGTCAAATCTACCAATAGCAAAGTGGAAACTGATTGAGAAAGTATTTTGATGCTAGATCTGATATATTTCGTATCATTTTAAGATTCTCGGTAGTCTTTGGCTTCTTTAGCGAGCTCCCTACCTTTCAAGATATTGTCCGACTTATATATAATTCTACTTTAATAACCGCCCATACTTCAAATTTATCTAGTGAAATACATGTATGATATACGACTATCATCTGATTTTATATACTAGATACTCAAACTTATAAGTGTAAGGCTGAGTTGATAGAAGATCGAGGAAAGAAGTTATCAATCAATATATAACTTCAATATGGATAGAAAGGCACTGTACTGTTGTCTTGTTCTAGGGAAAGATAGCTCTGCAATTTCTCTGCCTAATGCCAATAGCGGTAGACTTTCGTCTAATCTTCCTTCTCTAAATCAACAATCAATCGTCGAGGTGTACGCAACTATCTTGATTCACAAAGAATATTCAGATTCTAGCAACTCAATTTGCTAATCGACAACACGATTCAAGAAGTACTCGATTCCGATTTTCGAATGGTATATATTTGCTTTTTGGAAAAATTTCAAAACGACTATAAACGAGAGGAATCGAGACTAAATATCAAACCGCTAGAACCCCCGGTATTATCCCACCAAAAACCCACTATTTCTTCATCGCTATCTTCTTCTTCATCTTCTTCATCTCCTTCATCCATTTTGCCGTCATAGCCCTCTTCTTTTTCATCATTCTACTCCACAACGATGACGCTGTCATTCATTTCTTCATCGCTATCATCTTCTCCTTCGTCGTCTGCATCCATTTCTTCGTCGTTACTCTCTTCCCCATCATCGTTGCAATCCACAACGATAACGCTACCAACACTTTCTTCGTCGCTACCCTCTTCCTCTCCATCATCAACCTCCTCAACACCATTAGCGGCGTCGACGGCAGCCTCGGTAACGGCAGCGTCTGCAGCACGCTGGTTCTTAATGATAAGCTCCCGGATGTGCTGCTTTGCGCGACTCCAACTACTATTAAAGGAGCGCGGTGTATTAATGCGTGCGTAACTGGCCGCCCAGACAGGATCCGCTTTTGCTATACCAAGCATCATTTCCCAATAGCCGGTGACGTGGCGACTGAGATCCGTGATATCGTAGGCTGTTGCTGTTGTTGGTGCGATGGTCTCGTGGACTCTCATTGTCTCTTCTTGAACTGTATAATGAATGATGAGCATTTTCTTTTGAGAGATTGGAGATATCATTGTGAAGATTACTTACACCGGATCCTCGCATTGTAAATTGCTGCATCCTGACGGCAAAGAAACGTCAGGGTATCGATGGTGGGATAGGCTCCCGGGCCGTATTGCTGGTCTTTAAACCAGAGGTTATAATCTATAGTATCTACTGGGACATGGGCAGACATTGTGCGAGGAGGAAAGGCCGATAGTTGATGGCGATAGTATTGCGCTATGGAGCTGATATAAATTCGAATGCGACGGCGGCTTGATTCTAGGTTGTGCGCGCGAAAGTGCCCGTTGGATAACAGCAGGCTGGAGCAAAGAGAAATGTCAATATTTAAAAAGAGAGTATGAGACAATATGTGGTGGTTGAAAAGCTATTTAACTACGCGTCAACCTTGTTGTTAGTATTCTTTGTGGTTGTGGTGGTTGTCGCAGAATTCGAGGTTGCTGTACCCGACGATGATATTTAATTTGACGCGTAAATTTAACGTTGACATAACAACACAAACTAGACATAATCCTCGTGTGTATGTTGAGATGACTACCTTCATACAATTAACTCGGAACAAGCCATTTGGTTTGTTAAGGTCCTGTTTTGAGCAAGTCTTAACTTTGATACAGTGCATTATATTTACTTCTCAACACAACAACCTCTCTGAAGTGAAGAAGAGGAGAAGGAGTGAAAAATATTAAATACTCTTGAACTGAGGAAGAATCATCTGCATATTGTATAAGATCAAGACAGCGACTTAAATAGAGTAAGTAAAGAAAGAAAATATTTATACTCACAGATGATCAAGCAGGCAAAGAACCAATACAGACAGTCATGATTGCTTAGAAGTTGTACTAATTTGTTGAGACCGACAGCAAACTGAACTAGAGAGTAGAAGATTGACAACAAACACCTTAAGTTTAGTCGATAAATCTCAAGTTCAGTGTTTGGATGGCAGTATCAATAGTTTTCTACTTCCAACACATAAAAAACAAACGACAGATCAACAAACAAACACAACACTACTTTTCAGAATGACAATCAATATCTGGCGGTGATTTTTGGCCTCGGTAGGACAATGCCATTATACAAACCATAACCAAATAGAGGGAACGAAAAAACAGTTATACACAATGCCTCGCTTGAACCTTACCCAAAATCTCACTGCTCACTGCAAAAAAAAGAGTTACGAGAAGAGAAGTCAACAAGTGGCATATGGATATCCATCTACACAAAAGGTACTGGGTCCAGTCGTAGCTAATACATATCATAATTGTGGGGGAATACTCGGGGAGCAATATCTACTTGACGGAAATTACATACCGTCGGGATCTTCTACATCAGAATTTGCCCTCGTACAACAAAGAGACTATCTCATATCAATATTAGCGCCCATAATTAGACATTACGTTGACCTTGGAGTAATATTCACCACTTCAAATTTCCAAGTGCAAGGCCTCCTCTCCTTACACGATCAGAAGTTCACGGAAACATCTCGGCGTTGAAATTCTCATTAAATGCTCTCCACTGTTGTTACCAGAAGCAAATTTTCGATCTTATACATTGGATGATTGATGGTGACAACAATTGAGGGGCTGCGGGATGATAATGAAAATGCAATCTTTTTCGAGCCCGGCTTGAGAAATCCGAAGCACTTTGAGGGCGTCTTCCAAATTTCAAAGATCGAGTCGCCTCAAGCGCCTTCATTTGTGAAGATACTCACAGGTATAGGACCAGATTGTATATATAAGCGCGTAAACTTCATCGCACAATTCATAAGTAGCCGAAGTCATCTACCGAAGTGGGGACGGTGAAAGCACTGTATACACTTTCTATCTCTTCCAAGTTACAACAACGTCTTCTTTCAAGGCTACCAGCAAATTTGAAGGATCAGTCAAACATATCAATTCGATTCTTTCCTATGCAGATATATTTGGTTTAGTTACTTGAGCTGCTACTGCCAAGCTGGAATGTACTGATGACTTGCGGTAGATAAAAGTTATACCATGCTCAGAATTACTACTATCAAGTGAAGCTACTACTCCATAGACTCTATCTGTACAGCAATGATTATCAACTATCTTTCAACTCTGTATAATAACGTTATATACGAACTCTGATATCAGAGGGGTATTCGGGTGACTTGGGAGAACATGAGAGAAGGTGAATCACGGATATTTCACATGTAAGGGGTAAAACTCGCCACTAGTTACTATTTATGACTTATAGCAATATAACTGCGAAACAAACTATACATTTGAGTCTTCAAAATAGGTTGTGATTAGATAAAATATGTGCAGTAAGTTGGCACGGGGACACAGCTTATTAGTCCTTCAAGATCTCTATACAGCTCTAAAGTATTTTTCCGACCATCTACAGGCCTCGAGAATGAATATAGTGGAAAGGATGCGTAGAAGAGCTACAAATTCTGTCAGGACTCCGAAGAGAATGATATGATGAGAGTAAGCTTTCGGTAGTGAAAGTCCAACCAGGAGTCAGCAGGAGACACCAAACAGCTACAAGCTCTTGTGGAAGGGTCTTGAAGCTTAGGAAGGTATTTGATTCAGGTATCAATGGTGTCTAGGTAAAGATGAGAGAGATCATAGTGTCCATTCACCTAGACTTTGATGGTCGCCGTGTTAAGCAAGATACATGTACAGTCCAGTCGTTGCTTTCAACATCTACAAGACTCACACTTTCCTCTCAATCTTCTCCCTTATCAACAACTTTTTAACACTTCATCGTATCTGTACTTGCTTTTCATACAGAAGGAGAGCACTAAACTGTAAAGTACTGTCTCTCGTCTCATTCTTATGTTATATATATAACTCATACACACATAGGGGTGCGAGGAAATACAATCATAAGACCCTCTGATACTAATAAGCCACACATGTTATCCCTAATTGATATAAACCCTCATCAAATGAAAACGACATCAATCAGTATCGCAAACCCATTCTCTGAATTGATATGCCCATAAATTTCCTTCACATAACAAGCAATTCAATCCCGAGTCATTCAGTAGCAAAAACGCTTGAAGTTATGTGGTCTAGACAGCCGAGACAACCTCCCCACCACAAAAAACCGCGCACGTACCATCCCCACCTCGCCTAACATCTACCACCAAAAAAAACCCCACCATCACGGTTCAACCTCGAAAATTGAGGAAAAAACTGCAAAAGGAAAGATGGAATTAAACCATCATTGTTTTCAATCCACGACGATGTCTGTGGCGGTGCTGGGAATCGAACCCAGATTGAAACGGATAATCGTGAAATATTCAATGAAGAATGAGCCACAACGTCACGTGCTACCATTACACCACACCACCTGCTGAGAGGCTGTTTTTGATATTTGATGTAGCCGGTTTGAAATATATGTATATAAAAAATTGCTTGTGGGGTAGAGAAAATTAGGTGGAAGGTATTGGCGGGAGGAGAAATAGGTGCTGGTGTACTGTGGTGGGGTAGCATTCGCCACTGAACTGAGACCGACACGTGATGTATTGCATATCACATATCACATTAACCTTAAAACCTTATATGAACCTGTTATTAGAATCTTTTAATATTAGAATCTTTCAATACTTCAACTTCATTTCAATAATAAACGCTTTGAATGTTCTAATTAAAGTTGAATAGTTACATCTTTCTAGTGTCTCAATTCAAATCCAACGATTACATTCTTCTAATGTTCCACTTCAGATTGAACAATCATACTGCTGAAGTCCTTCAATTCAGATTCAAGAATCATATCATTTCAGTCTTTCAATCCAAATCAAACCATTGAACTCTTCTAATATCCTAGCTCAGGGTAAATAATTCTACTATTTCATTCTTTCAATCCAAATTGAACAATTACATTTTTCTGATTTCCCAGTTCAGATTGACATTCAAATACTTAGGGATTTATCATGGCATGTAATTCAATCACTCATCAGTCGGTAGGTAACCAATAATAGATGAAAAGAACTACATCTACCTATTTATTCGAGATTTTGAACTCCCCGCCCGCCGTCATAATTTTCGCTGATTTCCATCAGGACCATTATCCGCCTCGCGGGTATCCGTTGCCCAACTGATCGAATGTATAACGGCTCCGTTCCACGCTTTGATTCCCGAATTTTGCGACTAGCAGCAATAATTTGGCTTGCGCCTGCGCTGCGGAATTTTTCCTCTGCTTGCAACATTCTGAGTTATTGATTATCCCTTTCGACTTTTGCGACTAAAAGATTATCTACATGTGCCTTCGATCGCTTCTTGTTAGACGACTTAGACTTCACCTCAAATTTAGCCTCATCTAAATGCCCGGTATTGACCAACACGGCGGCTCTTGAGAGTAATGATATTATATATATAAGCATTAAAACATATAATATATGAAAAGATAGTAGCGAGTAACCAGCAACTTTATTGTATATTCAGCTCTCAACTTGTATTTCCAGCTCTTAATCTGCTTCTAATAGATATCATTAGGACATCTAATATTCCGGACTATAGTCCAACGTTATAAGGGTTTGAATGTCTAAAAGTAGTTAGAAATTTGTAAATTATTCAATCTTCTAATACAATTCGAGGAAAAAGAATTTGAAGTCTACTGATTCGTAGAATTTCAAAATAAGTATTATAATAGTAGTAGTAGTAGTAAATTCATAATCGATTCGGTCTATTTAGTTATACTAAGATTATGTGATACATTTGTATATAATTCTAATTGAATAAGGTAGATGGAAAAAAGAAATAAAAACCTACCCCTTTTTAAACTTCCCTATTAAAGCCTACAAATAATCTTTCGAACAATTCTTTCAAATCCTTTGAAATATTTATATTATAGATCTGTTATATTTAAAAACCTTTTCTTTATTAAATCCTTTAATATATCTATAAAAACCTTACACTTTCTATTTTATTATAATAATCCTTCTTTTTTTATTCAACTCCTTCTAAAATATTATAAAAGCTATAATTAATTATAATATTGTATTCTTTTCAAAGGATTATCTTTACCCTCTAATATTTCGAATCCTTTAGGAATCTTATTACAATCTCTAATTTATTATTTATAAGCCTTATATTCACCTTTTCCTATAATACATTAATAATATATAATCTCTTCTTAAAACCTAATATCTTCTATTCCCTTTTCTTCTATTAGATTATCCTATTGATATAAAACATAATATATTAGGACCTATCGGATTATCTTATTAATATAAAAAACAAAACTATATTATAAAACTAGATAATTAAATAAAATCGAAATAATAAATATAATAATATCGGGATATTATTGTTCTAATGATATACACTCTATATTGAAAAGTTATTACTTTTTCAATTATAATTAGTAATATATTATCTACTATATAAAATAATATTGAAATCAATATTTCATAATAATATTATATAATAATATTATATAATAATATTATATAATAATATTATATATTAATATAAAGTACTATACACTTAAATAAATATATTATAAATGTTTTTTAAAAGGTTTAGCTTTTCTTTTTATTCGTATAGAATAGCTATAAGCATATCAGTAGAATATTAAATACTATATTAATATATTTTTTATAAAATATTTCTTGAAAAAGGCAAAGCTTTTTAAAAAGTTTTCACTTTTTATTTTCCTATACCTAAAAACCTTTTTCTTTATAATTGAAACCCCTTTATAAGATTTCCAAGTATTAAAAAGCCCAGATTATCATAGGAATCTATAATTTAATTTCTCTTATTAATTATATTCAATATAATAAGTTTATTATTAATAATATCAATATTAATGATTTTAATATGAATATAATGAACCTCCCTCTTCGATATTGATAATGATATCTCCCTAATCCGAATAAATATTAATTCAATAATTTTGAAAAGAAATAGAGAATAATATTTTGATTTGAATATAGTAAAGATTAATAGGTTTTTTTAAGAAAATCTTTTCTTAGCTTTTTTATATTTTTAGTATTATAATAATTAATAAGAAAAAAGAAATTCTACGAATTCGTAGTCTGAAAATTTCTTTCTCCCCGACGACTAGTTCTCTTATCAATTAAAATTCACTATATACTCGCTTAGTAGGGGGTAGACTAGACTTGATTTGGAATAGTACTATAAATAGTGATATATGAGAAGCTTAGGCTTGTAAAATATATAAATAGAATTATTATAGAAATTTCGATCTAATTCGAATATATTAGTTAATTACTTAATAAGTATATAAAAGCGAGTACTAGAATAATATCTTTCTTTAGAGGCCTAAGTTACTTATTTATGCTTTTTTTTAATCCTATGTATAGTCTATAATATGTAGGTAATGTATATTATAAATCTAATTTGAAATCAATCTTAAATTGAAATTACTTTTTTTAATGATTTCAAATCAATCTTTTAATAAAGAAAATTCATTATTATATTTGTCATTTTGTGTTTAGATTAGCCTTTATATAGTATTTTAAATTTTTCAAAATAATGAATTATAATTTTCGAATAAATAATTAATAAAGGATTTCCTTTTTAATAAAGAAATCTTTGTTTAATATTAGAATATTATTCTTTTTTATATGAAGAATATAAAGAATTTATGAATTTTTTCTTACAATATTGAATTTTTATTATTTATAATATTAATAGATTTTTATTATTATAATCAGTTCTCTTAATATTATAATAATATTAAGTGATTTAATTAATATTTATTAAAAACAATAATAATTTCTATACTAAATATATAAACTCTTTTATATAATTCTCTCCCTTTATTCTAGATATTAAATTCTAAATACTATAATGTTACGACAGACATCACATGATACATTCGCGTATCATATGAGGGAGCCTTGGGGAGCTACGGGCTCTAGGAGCATATGGATCCTAGAGGCTCTAAATGACGAAGGTCTATATAACAAATGAATTTCATTAGGATATAGAACTTCGTACTCAAAAACAATTATTAATTTCATTATTATAATTACAAGAATTACAACAATTACAACCTTATTGAATTCCTACTTAAAGTCTAGTTTAAACCACCTCGAGAGATCTCTAGACACTTCCACGTAATCCTAGAGGCAGCTCCCGTAACATATAATATAATATATACTTTATATATAACTTACTATCTACTTCTAACAGGTATATTCCCTACTATTACACCTTAATAATTCTTATTATTCTTATATCTAATTATTTTATACTCAAAAAATATATTGAAATATATCTGAAATTTAATCTTATAAAATAACAACAAATTTCTCTAGCTTTTAATAAGTTAATTAAAAATATAAAGGAAAATATTACATTAGAAAAAAAGAACTTTCAGTCTTAAATATTAATCAATGAAGCTTTTTAAAACCTTTATATTATAATATTAACATTATTAGTATATTAAAGAGATTTGTTTTCTCTTTTCCTTTTAATCTAACAGAAGAAGAAATATTTATAAGTTCATTTCTAGAGTTCTTTTTTAGAAATTGATTTTAACTAATTAAAGTTAAGAATTTACATACTTCTAAAGATTTAGATAGATTGAATACTTTGAAAGATTATAATTTGATTTGCTAGTTATATTATAATTTAAAAAAAAGCACATTCTGTTATAAAGAAAATAGTAAAAGTAGAGCTGAGGAGAATATAATATTAACCTTATTGAATATTAATAAAGTTATAAATAATATTAAAAAGAATAATTAAATGATCTTTAATTTATAAATTCATTAGTTGGTATTAATTTAAATGAAATATGAAAGATAAAGAATTTAAATATAGAATCTAATATTAAGTATATTTAATTTAAGGAGCTATTTACTTTATAGAGAATAATAGGTCTTTTATAGACAGCTATGAAAACTAGCTCCTTTGATGTAGGTTATGAATAGCTCAAGGCTGTCAGTGTTACGGGAGCTGCCTCTAGGGTCACGTGGAAGTGTCTAGAGATCTCTCGAGGTGGTTTAGACTAGACTTTAAGTAGGAATTCAATAAGGTTGTAACTGGTTGCAATTCTCGTAACTATAATAATGAAATTAATAATTGTTTTTGAGTACGAAGCTCTACATTGTAATGAAACCCATTCCCTTATATAGACCTTCGTTCTCGTCTGGATAGCTTGGGTAGACTGTCTATCCTGTCTATCCACGGATAGCCTGGATAGCTTGCCTATCCTGTCTATCCATCACGTGACACTTGCCCCGTGACCTATATGATACTACTGCTTATCTAACCTGTGCTTACTAGATAACCTGTAACCGCTATCCCTCCTGTGCCTACTGTAGGATAGGTGCCAACAAAAGATAGGTACCTATCTTTTAATCATTGCTTATTGATTCGGTTACCGCTATCTTTCGTTACCCTTTAATCCAACTGTCCCTACAGTGCTGTTTTCGTAGGTTCCAACACCAAGGCCTTAGGTTTATCTTATAATCCATGTTGCGGTGCGGGTACCTCCGTAACAGTCAGGGTACGAGTAAAGACTTATATTGTATCATAAGAATAGAAGAGCTATGAAAGAGAGAGGCCCTACTTATAAAAAGTAGAACACGCTAGTAGTACGAGTCTTAGGACTAGTTTAAATGTATAAATCCGATTAGATTTCATCGAATAATTCGCTCATTTTAAGGACGGGTTTCGGATTTCTATTTAAACGTTAAATCACAAATTCTCACAAATTCTATTGAAATTTTTTTTAATAGATTTAATATATTAAATAAAACTAAGAATTCGATTTTTAAAAAAGATACTAAACAATTTATCAAATAATCTAACTATTTGTTTAAGAAAATAAAAACATAAATCGAAAACGCTAACTAGAAAAAGCAATTATTGTTTTCGATTAATCAAAAAATTCATAAATTTATAAGCTCTTATAAACTTTTATAATCTAAAGCTTTAAACTCTTTAAATTAAAGTTTAAATTTTAATTTCAATTAAATAAAATATCACCTCTAGATTCATTCTAATTGAAATAAAACTATTCTTATATTTATTCATTTAATTATTCAAATAACAATATTAATTTAAAAATTCAAATTTTCTTTATATATAAATTTATATATACTATATACATACTTTACTTTCTTTCATTTCTACACATTTTTTATTGAAATCGATATACAAATAGAAAAACGAAATACAAGAATTTGTTTTTTGAGAACAAAAAAGTATCATCGTGAAATCTACTATAACAAAAAACAAACAAATCATTCAACGGATTCTGATTGGAATTGATATCCAAACGAGCCCTTAGGTACGAAGGCAACTACAGAACATATAGTTGGCGCCGTGACAAAGGCTATTTATTCAACCCTCATTCACACAGCAACAGCATCCGAAGCAATAGCCTTTGACACCGAACCCTAAGCCAAGTTTGCGCTCGCGGTAACGACGCTTCCGGGTGTAACGGCAATCTTCTTAACGATGACAGTCTTTCCGCTTAAACCGGTAACGCGGACGTCGACGGTAGCACCATAGCCAGCGGGGTGTAAAAAGAAGTTGTAGGTGGTGCGGGTGGTTGGTTTCCAGGTGGATCCGCCGTCGGTGGAAACGTCGAGTGTGGAAACTCCCTCGGCAGCGTTGACGACTTGCATGCTGAAATAGTTGGCGGAGACACCTTCCTTGAGGTGGAGTTGGAGGGGGGTGGTGATGGGACAGTCAACGTAGTCCCAGGTTATGCCAATGATTCCTTTGGATAGGGGAGCGAGGGAGGAGAAGGCTTTGGTGTAGAGATCTAAGTGGTTGGTTCCGCAGCCGACACACTCGTCTGTGATCTGAGAGGTGTTAGTTTTGGGTTTGTGATCCTGGAGATGACGGATAGAAATTCAGGTATATAGGATACATACCATAGCGGTAACAGAGTTACCCGAAGGACCGGTAACCGAAACACAACGACCACACTGCGAAGCAGTAGCCCAGTTGGAATCGGAGAGGGCAGTGCCAAAGATGTTGGATGGAAGAGTATAGGTAGAGAATGAACATGATCCTCCTTGAGTATTACCACCATAATAAGTAGCTTGACCCGAGAGAGCACGTTTTCCCATCACTGATCCTTGAGCAATGGAGAGGAAGGTGGAGGCAGTAGCCAAGTTCTTGATTGAGAAAACCATTTTGATTTGAGTTTTGTTTTTAGGGGACGAAATCGATTGATTAAGAATGTACCGTTAATTGAGACCGTAAAGGCTGTATGTGAATGATAGATATCTTTGCACAAGAATGGATATACAGGCAAAAAATGAAGGTATTGAAGACCAAAGCTAATAAGTTCAAATGATCTCGAATCAAAATGTGATGAAGAGTAAAGGGAAAGAGATGCAGCTTAAGGTAAAGGAGAGTCGATAGTCTTTATAAGAATGAAAATTGATGCATATTTTAAAAATTAATTAATATAATTCAAATCATGCTCTCTCAGGGGTGGGTAGGATTGTTTCTGGGATGATTTCAAGATAAGGTTAAGCGCTGACATGCTATGATACCTACTAAGCTCCAAGGTACCAAAGTAAGTATTCCGTCTTCTTGGTTATTGAGTAAGTGAGTGGCGTTGGTTAGGGATTTTTGTCTTTTTTTTTGATGAATTGATTTGGGACTTTGTTTCTGGAGATTGGTGTACTATAGAAGTCAATCTCGATATATCAATTACCTAGTAATTAATCGTTGAATATGATTCCAACTCGATATCGATCGATACTCCATGCACACTATACATGTTCGAGTACATACGATGTACATACGTACATACCTAGGTCCAGACTGACTAAGTCCATTGATTCCCTTCAAGAAACAATACCTAGGCATGATTCCATACTATTCCCAATTTCCCATTTCTTTTCAGCCACAACCGCCGGGTAGGTAGCTAGTAGCTGCCTAGTACCTCTGTCCTACCAGCTCAGCTAAGCCGTTGCCCCTTCATATACCCAACCTTGAAACCCTTTCTCACACTAGTCATTTAAGCATACCTATATCGTATCAACCTAGGTAGTTTCATATCCAAACGAGTCTCGATCATTCCGTCGGTCCCCAAAAAGCGTTTTCCAACATCTTCCCCTGCGCGAAGAAGTAAGTTCGGAGCTGAAGGAAAGAAAATATACTATTTGTCACTCGAATATTGTTTCTTATCTCGAGGCGGAGTTCTTCCATTGTTTTAACTTTCGATAGCTTGATACTCCACGATCAAATCTCGGTGCGTATCCGTATCTCCATCTTGTCCATCTTCATGTTGTCCGTCTACAGTATCCATTGTTTAGACTTTGTAGTTCCTCGATGTCCACTTAGAGATGTTGCCACCCTCTCTCGACCTTCCTACCTCGTTTTGTGACTGTGAATACGATTGTGATAAGAAAGTACGAGAGTATTCACAGCTCTAAATAATATCAAGTGACAAGTTCATCTGATTCTTGTCAGGGAAGATGGTTTCTAGACTTAAAGTGACAGCACCAGACAATAGCACAGCCATAAAAAGAATTACCCGTGCCATCCTAGATGCTTCTAGATCTCTTGTTTCTATCAAGGGATGTGGCACGTGGAATCTAGGGTTGCAATTATATAAAGTATAATCATCGCTAGCAAACTATAATATATAATAACACTCAAATCAATTATAGCCCTTGATATAAGGTGAAAATTTGAATGAAAATTTGAATGAAAATTTTAACTTTAATTAGATGTAAGTGAATTAACTAAACTTCTTCAACCTTTAATCTTTAATATGAAAATTATTAATAAATACATCTACATGTCACGCGTAAAACACGTGAAAAACACGTGTTATAATCTTGGCGTAATAATTTATATTATATAATTATATAAACATCCCTCAAATTATATAATTTGTTAATCCCTAGTGAAATCACGATTATTATCGTTATTATATTAATAAGTTATTAAGATACTAGACTCTTTAATTTTAATAATATAAAACGATTAATTTACTATTATAATAAAGTCTCTTTATACGATTATCCATCGGTTTTTATACTTACTTTTAAGAATATATAGAAGCATCCTTATAGAAAAGTATTCAACTAATCTCGATCTAGTAGTAACTTGATTTTAATAAACTCCGATTAAGTTATATTTATAATATTTTTTAGTTTTATAAAATGTAATTAAAATTTCTATATATTTGCTATATAATAGTTAGATTCTAGTAATATTATATGATCTTAGAACCTTAATATATAAGAATATTCTTACAAAGGAGTTATAAGAATATAAGCTATTTTTAGACCTAAAAATTTTTAAGATTAAAAAAAAAATAAGAATAATAGAGATTATCCTTATAGGGGATCCTTACAGAGAGGTTTTACTGTGTGTTCAGACAATTAATTCATGAGTGAAAAGAGATTTTTACAATGTACCGCGGTCCGCACGAGAGTCTATCTGGTGGACATTTCGGATATCGAATTTCGGACATCGGGAAATCTCGGATGTCCGGAAATGAAGTCGTTGATTGCGGTTACATAGTGGTTCGCCGAATACGTTCTTCATTCTCATACTGATACCTCCTTCATTCTCATATTGATACCTCGATGTAATTCTGCATCGTCTTGAACTTCACCTAACACAAACCAAATTCAAGATTATCACTTCTTCACCTGCGTAAATACTTTCACTAAGACGTACGGTATTAATTCAAACTAAATATATACAACCAAATGAAATAAATCAACAACGTCCCCCTCAGCACAATTCAACAAACAATGTCACTGCAAATTTGATGGGCAACGATAAAAGATGTTACCGCAAAACACGAGGGCCTGGTCATAAATATCTCAAAAAATACACATTCGATCAAGTACTTGGAGGAAAACCAATTGGTGACTGCGTGCCGAACCCAAAGTCCCTATACATGCATTCCAAAGGTCGGGGTTCCTTCAGGTCCTCTAGAGCTTCCATAACTCTATCCTGGCTCTACTCCTGAAAGTTAACTAGTGCCTCAAGAGAATGTCAAGTAAAAGAAGTCTTACAGGTTCTAGGTGTATATTACACCTTAATCTTCACCTTTTCGCACGATAAACGTCTCCAGTCCTTAAAATTTCATCCTCTGCATTTTTACCCCTTCCTTTCCTCTCCAGCTTCCGAACCAATGGTAAAACCTTTTCACCAAAGTTTTGTATATCATCCTCATAATGCAAAAATGCAATGAGAACAATGTCAATTCCCAAGCTCTTCAATAACAAAATTCGATCGGCGATTTGTTCAGCTGTTCCAATCAATTTTGTTTTAAAGCCATCATTGTATTGCACCAAATCCTCAAATGTGCTATCTGCCCACATGCCCTTTTTATCCCCTGTGGATGAACCAGCTTGTTTGGTTGCACCCGAAAATGCATTCACAGCTTCTCTATCAGCTTTGCCTTGAATTTCAGAGAGTAGTTGTATGGCCTCTTCTTCCGTTTCTTTGACGATAGCGAAACCATTGACAGCAAAATGTATCTTATCTTCACGACCGAGCTTCCGTGCTCGCTCTTTGACATCAGCAATTTGCTCTTGGAATCCTCCAAGGCTATTGCCATTCATGAAATAATAATCGGATGCTGACGCTCCATTTTCCCGAGCATCAATTGAATTTCCACCTTGAAAAATCAAAGGGTGTGGTCGACCTGGTAGACTGAGCGGCTTTGGTGATAATGGATAATCATGGAATTGGTAAAAATCTCCCTTGTATGAAAACTTCGGGGAAGTCCAAATACCTTTCAAACATTCGATGAACTCCCTACTTCGTCTGTATCGCTCAGCATGTTCCAGCCACCACTGCCCGATGCTTGTGAACTCTTGCTTGAACCAACCGGAAACAATATTGACAGATATCCTTCCATTCGTATAATGATCGATGCTAGCAATTTGTTTAGCGGCGACGGCTGGATTTCAAGGTCCAGGTAATAAGGCCGCGATGACATTCAATTTCTTAGTATTATGGAGAAGGGCCTGTGAGAAGGAGACGGATTCATGTTGGTTATCCTACAAACAATCAATATCAGTTTGTGTACCAATAATGTATTCAAGAAACTCACAGCTCCATATCCTGCCATGAATCGAATTTGCGTGAGAGCATATTCGAATCCAACTTCTTCGGCAGTCTGCGCATATCTCACATGCGATTCGTAGTCCCAACTATCATACATTAGTGACCCAAATCTTTGAGTTGAATATAGGAAAGTAATACCTTGTTCTCTGGGGAATCTTCGATATAACTAAACCACCGGAAACGTTAGGAACCCAATAAGCGAACTTAACACGGTCTGGTGCATCGTTAAGTCCTGGTTCGGCAGTGAAATGCGTATTGTGTCCATTCGTAGTGACACTATTGGCATATTCAATGAATCTGTTATGACTGTCGCCATTAACATATCCATTGGTGTGGCCATTGGGTGGACCATCATGGCGAATGACAATTGGACTGTTGCTGCTAATTGTAATGGTAGTAGACATGCTTACATGTAGAGGTAAAGGAATATGTAAATTACACTTAATCAGAAAAGGACGAAAAAAGAAAAAGAAAAGTACTGAAATGAGAAATAGAAAGAAATACTAGGTAGCGACGCTCTCAAGTAGCTATACTGATACTCACTAACGTCAATATGAGCCCTTACTCGCATCATATTAAAAGTACACAAAAACTTCCGTCGAAAATTTAACCAAACTTTTGGTTGCGTAGGACGTGTATTCTCGTGGGAGGAAAGTAAGTATTGATATCCTGGGCGACGGATGGTGCAATATGCACCCCTCCTTGTGCAAGAGCTTTGCTACAACCCGAGACTGGTGATTGATCGACGAGACCATCATGATAACAATTAAGATAATCTAACATCGGTCATCCGGAGCAAATATGAGTGAATTTAGAGATCAAGTAGTAATACCAACATCAAACCGTATATTATGGAACATTGATCAAATTTGGCAAAGAAAAGAAAAGAAGAGACTCAATCAGGAGAAAAAGTTATGGCAAATGCGCTAACCTCTGAGTAGATTAGCATATATAGTAATCCTCATCTAATCTAATCTAATCTCGAATCTGTTTTTCAAAAGTACCACTACACGTCCCGCGTCCAACAGACCTTTTGATTCGTCGGCGCGTTATATTCATATTCATTTCAAAAGCTCACCAATTCTATATAAATTTATCTTCTTAGCTTCTCAGCCTCTCAGTCCTAATGGTACAACTATTCTTGGACCATTTACTGAACCATCCCTCAGTCTATCAAGTGCTGCATTTATGCCTTGTAACCCACCTTGTGCGACCTCAATTTCAGGAGTCGCGATTCTATTTTGCTCGAATAGTTTTTCCAACCAAATCATCAGTCCTTCACCAATATTCGGTGCCTCATGAAATGTCTTGATTGGAACGGAATGATAAAGCACTCCTGGAGTGGGTTCCTTTGGCAATCCGGTCAAACCAACAAGATGCGCTTTTTTCCCTCCTAGTCCATTCTCTGAGCGCATGGTTTTGGCAAGAAGTGCTGTACTTTCTTTTCCTCTCGTATCAAGTCCAAAGCGGAGGTTTCCTTTTGTGATGCCTTTGACAATTGAAATCGCCCTTTCAGTGTCAAAACGATCCACCAAGAGATCTGCACCATGTTTCAACATACGTTCACCACTTCGGGCAACGTCTATTACTGCAATAACTCTGAGTCCTGCCAGTTTTGCAAGTTGGACGGCGCAACATCCAGTAGCAGATGAACCTTACAGCCGTTAGCATTTATCAAAAGTTTTACAGATATTGCCTCACCTCCCCAAATCGCTATCCAGTCCCCGGGTCTCGGCCTTTCGTCTTCTCGGATACTATCAAAACATTCTGCTCTCACGTCCTGTGGAATAGAATCTCTAGGTTTCGTGCGGATTGCCTGGAAAAGATCTGGTCCTTGAATTTTACCTTCACAATTGGCAAAATTTACTCCCAAACATATACCTAACCCAAGGGCTGCGGCAACAAAGGCAACACCAAGTGGTGCGGCATTGATTGGGCTTACGGTACTTGGAAGCCTGCAAGCATTGAAGTCCGAAACGATTGCATATTGTTGATACGCAGCTTTTCGAGAATCTCGATAATCAGTGGAAATTCCCATAGCCTAGAATCATTAGCAGTTACTTTACTGGGCGTTTACAGATTCTTACGATATCTCCAGGTTTAAATCTGGAATTTGCTCGGGGTGATTTTACCACCTTTCCAGCAAAGTCTCGGCCACTGATACAGGGAAGAGAAGGCAGTCCAAAGCCAAAGTCGCTATTATGAATGGTCAGTTGAATGGTATCATTTGCTATCAATACAAGAAATAGTACTTACGGAGCTTTCCAGTCGATTGGGTTCAAACCAATAACTTCCACCGCAACAAGCATTTCTTTATCATCCTTTAATGAAGGTATTGGTTGCTCTGCTGCATGGGTGTATCTTTGCTTTGCGCCATGCAAGAGTAAGACTTCTTGATGCAACACATTGTTTAGACTCGAATTATGAATTGAATCTGATTCCTGGCGGGGAACTTTTGTCTCGTGGTGCAAATAGATACCCTCAGGCCCACTCTCTGGTTCAGGCCAGTTGTGAAAGACCTTTTGACACCCATAAGATTCCGGAGTCTTTGGGGGTGTTATTGCCTGGTTAACAGATGCCGGTACATATGTTTGCGTTGAAGTCATTTTCTCTTTCGAAGAATAGAAGTTCTTTGAATTGTTTCCTGCTTAACCCAATCGCTCAAAGTTCGACAAAGTTGAGTATATCGACGATTTCAGTCTCACTTGAATCATCTTCTAATTTCGTTCTAGTTCCTCGTGAATTCGGAATAATGGATATATTGTCACGCAATATTTAAGTTCGGTTTTTTTGCCAATCGCTATCAAAACCGAGGCTTGAGATTCGTTCACTCCAAAAACCATAGCCAATCTTCGTTATTGCTATGAACATGATCTCCCTTATCATAATGTGTATGAATATGCGGAGGTTATGGCGTGACGCACTAAGGACCTCTAATTGTGGGTCTCCCCGTGATGTTCCAACATGGCAGATTGGATTTAGAGCTGGAAAAGGCATCTTATCTTATCAAACTCATATTCCCGCGATTTACTTTGACTAATTTATTGAAGAGTGTTTACTCATTCATCGATTCGGCTAGAATACATCTTCACTACAGACGAAACAATGACTTCCAAAGACCATGAGACACGGAAATTCAGTCCGCAGGAGAACCATATCGGTAGAACAGAAAAGCCTGCTTTCGTAACTAATGAGGAGACATAACTTGTCACCTCCCTATATGTACCTCGTTCTCTTTTCCTCAAAATAAAACGAAGTTTGCTCTGACAGACCGATCATCGCTTAGACCTCGAAAACTGTCGAACAAATAATCCGCAAATCTGGAAGTGTTGCAAGCTTTCGATCGATTTTTTCAATCGAATAGCACACCTTGTGATATTAACATTAATGTTTAGTGCCCTTGGATATCAAGATTTTGATATCAAGTTTGATCATACGCACTACGCAAATCGTCTTTTCCTTGAAAGCTGCTATACTGAGTGTAGCATCGTGGCGTTCAGTGGACTACCATGTTGAAGAACAGCTGACCTGATTCTATCACAATAGAAAACAACAGTAGTTGTTAGATATCTCTGATTTGAATGGCCGTCTGTTTTCTCATTCATAATTTTGTGTTCATTCCAATTTCATTGCTTTTTTCTGCATCAACTCCAAGCTCACCCATCGTCGCTTCGTCACCTAGTTGTTTTCATTCTTTATTTTCAGCTTTCCAGTCAGATTTCTTCGTGTAAACATCTTTTCAAATGATATCGATTGCATACGTCGCACATAATTGAGGCGTGCAATGGGCCAATCGATCGTGCATTCAATTATTGGTGGTACTTTCTTTCTGTAGATTCCAGCTTGTTTCCAAGTGGAAAGTTACACGACATTATTGAGAATTTCTCTCAACTCTATCCTTAAAACAACAAGTTACTCGTCGGCATATTATATATAGGTAGGGAGTTTTAGTCTTGTCCTTTGATGAAGCCCAATCAACATGATGAGGTAAACAGAGAAATTCCATGACATTTTCCCTCGAAGTTCAAAGCACGGGTCTATTCCTCTAAGCAAAACTTATTCTTAAATAATAGATCTATAATGACAGACAATCCCTCTTTTCACGATTTGGTTCCAGCATTTACATCATTGCGGAGAAATCAATAACTGCAGAGGCATGTTGTACAGTTGACAGATTGAATGGAACGTTGTCTCAAGCGAGTAATCGGCGATGATGTATTATTACTAGTTGTTGTTCTGGAAGTGTTCCCAACTTCTGGATTGTCGGCATACGTTTACCTGGGTATGAGAAATATTATTGGAGAATTCGGACAATAGGGAAATTGAACCTTTCAATGCCAGACGTACTAGCGGTAGATAAAGTGGAGAATACTCGGCACTTTGGCTCAAGCTTCATTGTTGCTTCTATTTTCATGGGTCGGGAGCCCGTAAGGTTGCAAGAGGACGGCTCTAGTTGACCAAATAGTATTTCCGTTGCTAATATATTCACATGAAGCAACATATTGGCTAGAAAATAGTAATTGAGAGTAGCAAGCCTTATAATCCACAGGGGTTTGATCCGCGACCTTACTGAGAATGTTACCAACATAAATTGGATACTCGCTAAACGATTTCCCGTCGGTACATGAAACAGAAACATGGGGTCTTGTGGGTCTAGAATAGCCAAGAACAATGTATCCCGGGCTTCTAGTGGCACCAAGGTGTTTATGTCCGACAACCTCTTGAAGTGTAAATACAATATTGCAATTAGATGTTGCCGATGTATAACTATTGTCAACTTCGCCACTCTCCCAACTACTCATTCAAAAATCGCCAGTCTTTCGTTTTGTGCCCTCAACCATCAGCAAACCCTTTCCACTCATTGAATAGTCCCTCATTCAGTTTTTATCAAACATGTATACCTCAACTATCCTCGCTACCGCTCTTGCAGCAGCCGTCCAAGCCGCACCAGCTTTACTTCACCGCGGCAGCCTGGGGCGGTGCGCTTTCTCCTAGACCTACCGCCTCTCACATTCTCCATCCCACCACTACTCTCAGGGCTAGTTTGGATGCACAAATCCGGTTAGATTTCGTCGAATAATCCGCTCATTTTGATGACGAATTTCGAATTTCTGTTTGAATATCAAATTACGAATTTCATCGAATATTCCTACTTTTAATATATTTAATATCCTAAATGAAATTAAAGATTTAATTTTCAAAAAAGATATTAAATAGTTTATTAAATAGTTTATTAAATGATTTAATAATTTATATAAGAAATTAAAAACATGAATTAAAAATAATAATTAGAAAAAGTAGTTGTTGTTTTCGATTAATTGAATAATCTATATATTTATAAATTCTTATAAGTTTTTATAATTTAAAACTTTAATGAATATAATCTAAAGTTTTAAGCTTTTTA